CAGAACTCAGAGATGGAAAGGTTTGCACTGGGATAACTGTCTAGAAGGGTAGGACTAGCCCTCTGGGCCAGGCCCCGTCTTTCCACTGCACTGTGGCTTCTCCTGCTCATGTGGCTGTCGATTTGTGTGTCCCACGCGTGCACAGAGAAAGAGGTGGGCAACTCTATTTTCAGAATACGAGAGACAAACAAACTTCTCCTCTGCAAGCCTCCATGGCTGCCTGCTCTTCTGCCAACTGGAGGACACACCCTGCCTCTGCTCTATGCACGTCATCCCCGAGGACTGTCAGCCCCATGTGGGGCGGCTGTTGGCTGGGCACCCTTGGCCACGTGTGCATGTATGTCCTAGCACCATCTGCAGCAGAGAGCAGGCTCCCTCCAGGGCCAGGACCTAGCCAAGTCTCTCTGTCTCGTTTATAGGAGACTTCCAACCCTCCTGTCCCTCTGGGGCTGGCTTCGTGTGGCTGTAGCCACAGCTACATTTCCCCTGCGACCTTCGGAGTTCCTTGAGAGGTGGCCAGCCAGCTGGTCCCCTGTGTGAGAGTCACACCACCCTGGAAATGCCAATGCCTGCCCTCCTGGTGGCAGCCATGCCAAGATCCAAAACCACGCTCATGGGGTAACAGGTGACGCCCCTCCCCCTCCTCCTCATCGCCAAGCAGAGCCTCCCCCCACCCCACACCCCACCTGGCCCCCCAAAATACATTTCTTTATTTATGCATCTGTAAAATTATATGCTATACAATGCAGTAAAATAAATATATATAAGCAAGAATCTTTCTTATGTTTTGTACTGAGTACGTTGCAGATAATGATATGCAGTGTATTAACTATTGTTAGTTTCCTCTTATTTTGTTATAAAATTTCTTTTTATTTTTTCATAAGATAAGCAGACTCTATGTATGCATATACATTTTACATGCACCTGCTGTCCATACAGGTTACAGTGTCTGCGCTGACACACCTATGTAAGCGTGTGCACGCACAGAGAGGCTGAGTGGTACAAGGCACACAGATAGAAGGTGGCTGATCTGGCAGATAACTCTCAGCCTCTGGGCTCCATGGGACATCAGGGTGTCACCTTGCCAGTGATTCTGGACTGGGAGTGGCCTCTGGCCTGACCTCCCGTGGGAACAAAGATGTGACACTGATTGCCGGACTTCAAGTCCCCAGCTGCTCCCAGCTCTGAGGTTTGTGTCTGTTGTGAACCACAGCTGTGCTGGGGTCCCCGGGGGCGGTGGCATCTCTCACACGGTGTCCAGCCTGCTGTCTGGCTTGTACCCCTCCATCTCCCCTTTGTGCAGCTCAGGTTTTAGAGTCCATGATGTGCTGTGATTATCAAATCCACACTAGTGTGGGCAGTGTGGGGGATGGAGGGGATGGAGTGGCACTGTTTAGATGGCTGGAGCCCGCTCTGACCCTCCAGACTCAGTTTCCCCATAGGTGCCGAGGGAAAGGACATAGGTGCACCCATACAAGCCCATCTGGTTCTGGTAGGTTTTCCTGCTATGCCCCTCAGTTCTCTGGAATACTGAGGCCTTGTGCTAGGGGAGGGGATGTCACCATCATTTGAGCCAGGCAGGTCCCATGAGGACCTCAGCCCTGCATGCATAACGGCAGGATGGTGATGCCTTTCTTCAGGGATTTCAGGGCTGTCCAGATGACCAGGAGCCCTTTCATCCAGCAGGATGCATAGAGTCCAACAAGGACGTAGCTGGTCCCACCAAAGAGGGCAACTCTGGTGCAGTCTAGTCTTTTTGGAGGGCCTTGGCTTCCAGGTAAAAGGGGGATAGAAATCTCTTAGCTTGGCCAGGACACATTTATGTTCACGGAAAACCTGTTTCCAGCAGCTAACTTGGACTTCTGGGCCACTAGGTGTTCAATTTTGGTCCGAGGTCCCAAGAGAGCCCTGAGGAGCCTGTGGAGGCCAAGCGACTTGGCCAGAAGCCTGTGGTATTGTGCACCCCAAGGCCCATTTGAGATGGATGACCTCCCCTTTTCCAGGTGGCCATAAGGGAAAGAAGCCTGGTCAATGAATATGGACTGCTGGGCCCTGGTGGCAGTCTGAGCTCAGGGGTTCCACTTAATCCCCAATGCCTGAATACCTGTGGCAGTTTTCAGTCCTCTGCTCTCAGAAGATGGAATTGGGCTCGGAGACCCAGTGGGCTGCAGCCAGGGCTCCAGCGAGTGAGGAACATCCAGGGGTCATCCGACTCCACAGCACAGGCTGGACACTGGCTCGTTTGTGGGCAGCATCCTCATCAAGGAAGCTAGTACCTACATAAGGTGGGCCAAGCAAGCCTGCCCCCACCCCAGGCCCAGTACTAAGCCTGCTAGCGTAAGACCATCCTTGGAGAGACTCAAAACCCACAACAGGAGCCTGGGTGCACAGCCTGGGCTTTGCCACAGGCAGCTCCTCACTGGGGCAGGCCTGAGCAGGACGAGGCTTAGTGAGCCAGGTTCCCAGGAGCAGGACTGGTGATTGCCGTGGGGAGCGGTGGTGTTTAGAGCAGAGGGCTGTGTATCCAGCTGTGGATTCCAAGCTTTGCTCCTGCTTCCTGCCATGCTGCTCGGCCCCTTCATTCTTGTTAGAAGTGTCAGTCAGGGCTCAGGAAGGCCCCACTGACTGCGGACGGCCTGATGCCCACCTTTGCCTGTTCTCCAGAGCTGCTCCTTTTGACGAATCGCTGACACAACCCCCTTGCACGTATGTGAGATGTAGGAGAGAAAGGCCCAAGCCAGGAAGGCTGGGGGTGGGGTACACAGTGGAAGAGAAGGCCTTACGGCCCTTTCTTAGGCCTAGGAGCCACCACCGAGTGACAAGGGTCATCCTGAGGGTGCATCCCCAGATCTGAGTGTGGTACGTCTGTGAGGCAACTTTCCTTCCTGCCAGGGATCAGTCATGGTGTCACTTTGCTCCTGTCCATGAGGAGACATCTCTCCCTGCAGTTTGCTTTGTCTCTTGGTGTCCCCAGGTTTCCAGAAATTCCGCAGTGCTGTGGCGGGATGGCATGTCAGAAAGACAGGAAAAAGCTTTCCCCAGACTTGTTCCTCGTCCCTTCCTCTGGCACCCCTGACAGCTCCCTCCCCGCTCCCAGGACCTGGGCTTTTGTCTGCCCTCCCCTCCCAAAACACTGCCCAGGGCAAGAACTAGATCTGTCCCTCTTCAGTTTGGTTATTTGAAACCCAAATAAACTGATGTGGAGAGGCATTCAGGGCTGGGGGCCAGGATGCCAGGGCCGCAGCGCTGCTTAATTTAGCGGGCCAGACTCTGGGTCAGAGGCATCTCAGGACTTGGGCCCCGCTCCCACGGCCCCCAGTTGGCCACCCCTTCCTGCTCTCTCCTTCCTCTTTCCTGGAAGAGGGGTCTCTGTCGAGGGAAAATGTGCTGAGTCTTGTGTCCCCTGGACTCTACTGATGCGGGACTCTCAGAGTGGCCCCCCAACACACTCACACATTGATTTATGGGAACTCAGATTAGAATGAATGCATTAACCTGGGGAAAGTCTGGAATGCCGTGTGTGCGTGTGTGTGTGTGTGTGTGTGTGTGTGTGTGTGTGTTTGTGTGTGTAGACAGGGATCTCTCCACACTTAGAAGACACAAGCAATGAACAAACATCAAATAAACAAATGACTGGAAAGCGGTAATGAGTACTATGGAGAACAACAGAGCCAGGTAAGGGATACAGAGCAAGGGAGGAGGGCAGGTTCTGCCGGGATCAGGACAGAAGCCTCTTGGCTGGTGTGTGGGTCCCATGTGTGAGTTTCCCTTGGTGGCTGAGTCCTTTTTCCTGACACCCCCCCCCACTGCAGGTCGACCAGTTCTATGGTTTCCTTCCCTGCATCCATGTCATATCTATCCCTCTCTGCCCTCACAAGCTCCTTCCCTGGAGAACTGTTCCCAGGACCAATGTTAAGGGTTACGCAGAGTTGGAGGCGAGAAAAAGCTCCAGGGACCACTGAGGCCAGGACTTTTCTAATACTCATCGTATGTCATCAAGATCACGAAAAGTAAAACTGCAGCAGGATATCACTAATGCCCACCAGAACAGATGACATGAAAACAAAGATACCGAGTGCTGGTGAGCGTGTGGAGCAACCAGACCTCTCATTCACGACTAATGGTGATGGTGAGGCAGGAGACTAGGTCAAGGCAAGCTGGCTGGGGAAGTGGGTGCAGCCCATTAATTGCAAAGTTCTAGGGCCCATGCGCAGAACAGTTCCCAAAGCCCTGCACACGGAGCCCATCAGAGAGCGCTGTCTCCAGCTCTTCTGTGGGAGCTGGAGCAGGAAGAGGGAGACACAGCAGGACAGCCACCACTGAGCTCAGCGTTCCTGTGTCCTGTGTCCTCTCTTTCATGCCTCTGTTCTCACACTGTAGAGTGTGCTTCTTTCCCACCTGTCTCAAATTCACTCAAGCACGTTCCCCCCCACCTTTAATAAACACAAAGCCTTACTACTTTTTAGGCTTGTTTGTTCAGTTCTTTGTATAAGGCAAAAAGAACTCAGGAAGAAGATTCCAGAACCTGGGAACAGTGTAAGTGCAAATTGGCACAATTCTGGGAAACCAGCGGCTTTGTTAAAACTGAATGTATGGCTGGGTGCTGATTGGTTAGCCCCAGCCTAGGGCTATACCCCACACATATGGGTACAAATATTCACCAAGAGATGTGGATAGCGTGAGTTTTCACAGTACACATCCTTACCCCAAACCGAGATGTTCAAACATTCACCAGCCACCGAGTGTGATGTACTCTTAGTGCAGAATACTGCACGGCATGAATCCATCCTTAACCATGGAGCTGTAGATGTGAATCTCAGAGTACGCCAGGGTGCACCGCTGGATGGGAGGAGACACGTGATCCCTTCACAGCTCATGCACAGCAACCTCTCCAGCCAGCGGTCAGAGTCCGGGATGACAGAATCTTCCCGCTTTGATTCAGATGATGGATGTGTCAGTGTGTGAGGATGTATGGAGCTCCACATTTATGAAAGGCATCATTTGGGGGGAGGATATGTTAAACTTTATTTTAGGAAATTAAAAGTCAGTGTTGTTTGGACCTTGACTTGGATGAATTAAATCAGAATCCCCAGGTCAGAGCAGGCAGAGATGAGTCTAATACGACTGTAATGCACAGACAGGGTTGGGACCCCCTGAGGTAGCTGGATGTGTTCATTTTGGTGAGCAGTGGAGGCCTAAAGAGAGGGTTACAGCCTTGAGGGGAGTGCACAGGCAGCACCGTAGCCCAGCTCCCCGTCAACAGCACAGTTCTCTCTACAGGGCCACACTGCCCACCTTCCACATTGAGTCAGATGTCCCAGTGCTGTTTCTGTGCAGGCTACTCTGTCTCTGATTTGTTCGATGGTGTCAGAGAAGTCACAGCACCTCTCTGGACCTCACCTAGGAAACGAGGGCTCCAGGTACCACAGTAGCCAAGAGACCCTCTAGCTGGAGGAATCACAACACCATCTAAGACTCAGTCTCAGCCTGAGGTGCTCAGCATCTGATGAATCAAAAACTAGGGAGTGGTTTAGGACTACAGTCTTTCATAAAGAATTGGGCAATCATAAATAAATGTGTTAGGTTGAAGCCAGGTAGGAACTGGGAAGGCCCTTGGGTAGACCACACGGCATCCCTTCCAGGAGAGCAGCTTGAAGGAGCTCACACACGTTGAGGCTGACTTCCTGGGGATGACTGGTCATGATTCTGGCTGACTGTTATGCACACAAGCAGTCCCAGTCCTCAGAGCACAAAACAACTCATGATTCTGTGAGTCAGGAATCTGTGAGTCAAGTTCTTCCACACGGTTTCTCTCCAGTTGATGTGGTGGAGGATGGGGCAGCTGCTGGTGAGGGACCACCTCCAAGGTAGGTCATGATGTGGCCTCCTGATCCCTCTTCTCACTCGGTGTCATTTCTACAGGGCTTCTTGGTGTGACTCACGGGGCTTCCTGACAGCAGAGCAGTCACAAAGCATGTTAGGTGCTAATCTTAGATGTCTCAGCACATCACTCCCACCTCAATGCCCCGAATTCAAGGAGAAGGAAAGAGTAGACTCCCCTTTTTGGGTGGGTTAAGGTGTGTGCCTGGGAGGGGAGGCAAGATGGCTACCATCTTGGCGAGTAGGCATAAATAGAGGACTATCGATTCCCTCCTGGCCTCTAACTCCTTCTGACCTCAGGGAACTTGTTGCTACAGGTAAAGGTGTGCACAGCCTGAGACAGGACATGTCTGGCCTTTCTGTTGATATCATCGAGGGAATTATTACAGTAGACTCTAGCCAGCCATACAGGTGCTTGAAGGGGTCCATCTTGGAGGGAATTTGATCCTACTGCCCAACTGGTAACTGATTACTTAACTCGGTTACTTGAATTATTTTTTTTCCACACTGTGATTGTTAAAAATTTGGAAACATAAAGATACTACTATGAACATGTTACAGTGATACCTCAGTTCTACGATTTCAGAAAAGATGGCCATGCCTGTGTTTGTATGGGAAAGATGGCCACAGTCATATTTGTCACCTGATGCAGAGTTTGCAAGTGAAAACAGAATTTTGCCAAATGCTTCTATTTACAAACCAAATTTGTTTGCAAACCGAAGTGTTGGTGAACTGAGATACTGCTGTACCTTTCCTTCTATACCTTTCTTTTTTTTTTTGTCTTTTTCGTTTTTATTGGTACCAGGGATCGAACTCATGACTGCCTGCTTGCAAGTCAGGCGCTTATGCCACTAAGCTAAATCCCCAGCCCCTCCTTCTATACCTTTTTGATGCACAGCTATACAGAAAGGTTTGTATTTTTTCCCATTTAACACATTGCAATCATTTCCTTGTATATTTCATTTTAATTTGACAATTGCTCTTTGTTTCCTCTAGGACTGTGTGCCAGTTTAGTTCTTTTATTATATTCGTATGTAGTTTTGGGTAAGGGTCTAATTCATTAGGGATTTGGATGATGACTCAGGTTCCTGCCCACTCCGCTGGGCTCTGGGGCTCTACTCAGGGTTGTTGGGTGATGCTGAGTAGAGCCCTCTGCTGTGCTAGAACGTCTCAGTAGCCTGTGGCTTCACTCCTCTGTGGAAAGGCTCAGGAGGGACTGAGCCCAGGGAAGAGGTGGCACTGAGTTCAGGGACCTGAGAAGAGGCCTTGGTCCTACCCTGGTGGCTCACTTGAGGTCCTTCCCTGGTCACTGGGCACAGCATGTCTAGCCTGTCCACTGGCAGAAGATCACCTCAGTCTCAGAGAAGGACAAGAAGGTGGAAGCCTGGGCAAGTTTTGGGCCCCTTTGTGGTCCATGTCTCAAAGATTCTTCCTGCTTCAGAGGATGATGCTTGAAGAAACACCAGCCAAAGATGCTATTGCTGATGACCCATGACAGAGTGGGTACCAGAGGGAAGAGACATGGCTGCGTTGGCTTTCTGGTGTGGGCAGGTCCACCTTCACCCCCAGGCAGCAGTGTCTGCCAGTCTGCAGTGCTATGTGTGTGTAGAGCAGTCTTCTAGCAGGTTTTTCCCCCAAAGGAGCCGTGGCATAACACTGAGTACTTCGGGGAATATTCCCACCCTTCCTGTGGGGCTCCTCCTTTTGCCCCAATACTTAGAGTCCCTCGTGGGGGACAGAGCTGGGGCTTAAACATTAGCCTTTGTGTAGGCCATAGCTAGCTTAGATTTCTAAGCCACTGCTCATAAATTATAGGATGGTGGACCCACTACCCAGCCTCTCTGAACCTCGGTTTCCTCATCTGTGAAAGAGGTGATGGTAGCACCTGCCTATAAGGAAAGTGGTCCTATGTACTGCAGGATGACATTTTCATGTACCAAAGTATGCCTGGCCAGTCCCTCCCCTACACTCCACCATTTGGGCGGGACTCTCTACTCACAGTTTGTCTTTTTGATTCTCAAAAGCTGAGTCTAAGACAACAGGATTCGGAGATTGCATTTCTCTAGCTCTCTCTCTAAATCAAGAAGTTGGCCCGGATGGTGAGGGCAAGGTGGGGTCATCCCAAGGCGGGTCTGGTACCCATGCACGACCAGCTACATCAGGGGTCCTGGAAGGGGAGGAGCCTGTGTCTGACCTCCATCCAGGAGCCAGGGAAACAGCAAGAGCCGAGGGAGGTGACTTCCTGAGTCTACTAAGACCTCTTCCTGCTGAGGAGACTCCAACAGCTCTTCCCCACCTTCTTCCTGGTCTCCTACTGTGGTACAAGGCCTGGCAGGGGCCAAGCTTGAGATAACCTTGAGGCCACCCAGCCACAACGGTCTGCAGTGACTGTCCCAGCTGGAGTGATGCACAATTCGGCAGGTGCCAGAGCAGCTGGGAGACAGTCTAGGAACCCATGGTGTCCCCCACGCCCCTATCCTCAGCACCAGCCAGACCTTTGGAACCTTGACCCAACCCCAGCGTGCCTCGCTGTGCTTTATTTCCGCATAGAATTCTAGAAATGGTGTCCAGGCACCCCGAACCTCTGCTGAGTTGGTGAGAACTGCTCACCAGCCCCGAGGGGAATGGGCCTTTGAAATGGAAATTATTTTCCTTTTAGAGACACAAATGTGCCTTGGCTTCAAAGCACACTTCCTGACCCTGGGCTCTGGGCCCAACCTCTGACACAGGTATGGCCACGTGAGCACTTGGCAGCGCCCTGGGCACCTCAGTGAGCATGGCCCCCTGGGCACTATTTGCCATGCCACCCACCCCCAGAAGCAGGGATGGGCTTCCTGGCCTTGGAGAAGTGTTCAGGGCTTGCCCTCATGCTTGTGCGTGCTGGCTGGTTGCTCAGTGCCTTTCCCTTTGGGCCTCCCCAGCCCATCCCAGTGCGCCCAGCACCTGGACCCCTGGGGTCCCACGTGTCAGGCTTTGCCACCTGTTGCATGCTCTGCACTAAACTCTGACTTCCTGACGGCCTTTTACCCAAATCCTTGGTCTCTCCTCTCCCTCTTGCATTCAGTGCATCTTCCTTCCTGCCTTGTCGCCTGTTTGTGGTCTTTTCCTCTCCCTTCTCTCCTGTCTCCCTCCCTTGCTCTTCCCCAAGGCAGTGTCTCTCCTTTCCTCCCTGTTTCTCTGGGTCTCACCCTCTGTATCTCACTCCTCTCTCTCTCCCTCCTGGGTAGTTCCAGAAACATACCCATATATGGCCTCCATGTCAAGGATCACAAATGATGACATCACGTGAGGGCCAGAGCCTCGAGATGCTCTCCAAAGGGAGAGTCTGCCTCTGATGCACCCAGAAAGACAGGACAGTGGCTTCCTTCGTGCAGTCTTCAAACAGGAAATCTGAGATTCACAACATCTTATAGCTTGGCTTCTCACCAGTGGTCATGCGGTGGGCCCGAAATAAACTCCCTGCTTCAAAGGACAGCATTTCAGAACTGCCTGGCACAGCAGCCAGCAGCTCAGGGCCAGGGCAGAAAGAAAACTCAGGCAGCATGTTCTGAATTCAGACACTCTCAAGAAGATCCTTCCTATTGCCCCCTGAACCTTTGCTTCTGAACCTAACAGGTAATGCATGCTTTCAACTATCCTATAGGGACTTTGCAAAAGGCTGCTGGGCTGGCTGGGACTTGGCGACTACAGGATTCACCCAAATTCTCTTGTAGTGAAACTGCGTTTGTGTCTCTGTCTCCTGTTCAGCAGCACACTGGCAACTTTCACTTGGGCTTGGGAGACAGAGAATCGGGATTTACATGTCCGTTCTTCTGAAGGACTCTTGTGTAGAATATTACTGCTGTGTACTTCTCAAACTAGAAATGCACACAGAGCTGTCAGTGATGCCATGCTTGGGTGCACAGGTTTTAGACAATGTCTGTGTCAGACAGAATATTTTCAGGAAAGCTTTTGGAGCAGGCAAACATAGATATTGTCATGCACAGGAGCCAACTTGGTGGAGCCTTTCAGAGGGCTCATGTATGCCTAGTATTGTAGGATTGACAGCAATCAAGGTGCTGTACCTGCAACTTTAAGAGAGGAACAGAGTGAGAAATGTTATCTGATGTGATTGAACAGAGCCGAGGAATACAGAGAATACCTCATGTATGTTTGTACAAGTGCCTGTGTACGTGTGTGCGTGCTTGTATAGGTGCATGTGTGCATGTGTGTGTTTGCATGGGGACACTTTTAAGGAGCCAGTGGCCTTATAAAGGACAGGAGGAATGTCATCAGAGTGGGGGCAAGGCCTTCCAGGTGGAGGAGCAGCTGGGGCAAAGGCAGACACATTGGGTGGCCAGGGTGATGGTGGGATGGTGCAGGGGTGAGGAGGGGCGCAGCTGGGCTGGAGGCAGGTACACTGCAGAAGATGGAGCACATGCAAAGGATTCTGAGCAGAGCCGGTGCAGGTGGACCCTGACTTCTGGAGGCTCCTTGGGAAGCCAGAGGAGTGAACAGGAATGTGGAGATGGAAAGACCAGAAGGGAGAGCAGATGGGTAACGAAGACCTGCACCAGGGTGGAGGCTCAGCCTCTGAGCAGGGCCTCAGACCCTCTGTCCCGACGATGAGCCTCTCTCATAAAGGTGGGGGCTGATGGGAGTTCCAAGAGGCTTGGGCAGCCCTGCAAGGATCTGTGCTCCAGCTCCAGCCCGACCTCCGCCACCAGACGCCTCATGCAGGAGCACACAGAAGCAGCCAGTGCAGGCTCTCCAATCTCTGCCAAAACAGCAGGACTGGCCCCCAGCACAGGCCAGCCCTGTTTGCCACACAGTCCCCCTTGGTGCCATCCAGCTTGCATCATCTTTTCTTGTGCAAGTAGGCCAGGTCATGAGTGACTCAACTGGCTGGGAGTGGGGGTGCCCTTCCACTGGGGGTGGACTATCACCCACCTATGATGAAAAATCGCCATCACTACCAGCGGACATTCACTGAGCACTTATTATGAGCCACTTATTATGGGGCTATTTCTCTCACCAATTCTTCTCAAGGTTGCCAAGACTTAGAGGTGAATTGTTTCTCCCATTTTTCAGATTCAGACACTGAGGCTGTGCATGGTCAGGCTAGGCAGGTGTGAGGTGTTGGAGTCAGGAATCAAACTCTGGCCTCTGGGCCTTCAAGGCCAATGTTCAACATCACGGCCTCCTGGGGCCTTGCTGGAGGCCGGGACCCCGGCCATCAGCAACTTTGTACACCCAGCAGAAATGTACCTGGCACAATCCAGGCATCATAAGATGTCCTGAATTGTGTGTGGGCTCCATCCAAGAAAGCTTTTCTGAGAGAGGCACAGAAATATCCCTGGGCTGCCCAGGGGCCTCCTGGGATGCAAAAGTTTGGCCTGCCTGAAGGAAGTGGCTGTCACCCGTGCAGCGTGTCCTCGGTATCACCTTTGCCGTAATCAGCGAGTAGGAATCAAAATGAGGCTGACAAGCTTGGGGGATGAGAGGGAAATGGCGGGCGGAGCGGGGAGGAAGTAGCAGTTCATGGGTTACTAATTGGGCTGCTTTGTCTTTTTAAAGAAATAGACTTAGAAGAGGAAAGTGTGAAAGGAGTCAGGGAAAGCAGAGAGAAGAGAAGGAGACCATTGAAAGGGGTGGTGGGGGCTGCTCTGCTCCGGCTTAGGGTTCCCCGCCAAACCTGGAAAAGCACCCCTAGACCGGGCTTGTCCTGCCCCCCAGGGCAGGGGTCAATGGGACAATGGAGGATCCGTGGCTGGGCAGTGGGGTAGGGCCAGGCAGCAGCTGCCGGAGGCTCAGCCGACCAGCCAGCCCCACCGCCCATCCTCACCACCCCCAGCCTCCAGCACAGATGGTGGGAACTGGCATTCTGAGGGCCCCAGCAGCAACTGGGTCAGGGGCCTGGAATCCTGTGCCCGCACCGTGCAGCTGAGGCACTCCGAGGACTTTGCGGAGGGAGGGCAGGGGCCCCGGACAAGGTCCAGTCGCTGCCGGGCAGGAGGCAGGGATGAAGGTGACCCAGGCGCCTTCAGATCTGGGGACACCGTCATCGCCCAGCTTTCCTGAGCTGCTGCTCACAGCACTGCCTCCGAAGGTGGCCTCTGGGTCCCAGGGGAACAGAATGTTTGGGGCAAAGAACAGGAGAGATACTTGCTTTTCCTGTTGGTCTTCTTTCCCTCTCTCTCTCTCTTACCATCTTTATAGCTCTCCCTCTGAGCTGGCTTCCTCAGTGGACACCCATAAATTAACCACCCAGATGTGCTGTTAGGGTCATAGACTCACCCGGGGTGGGGTCAGCAGGGTGCTCCCGTCCAGGCAGAGCCTTGGCACAACGGGCACGGTGTTCAGGACCTGGTAGAGCAGCAGTGCCACCAGTTTTGGACAAGCTGTGTCACCTTAGGCTTAGTCGTGTCCCCTCTCTGGGCCTCAGTTTCCCTGACACACAGAGGGAGAGCCCAGTGCAGTGGGGTGGCCCAAGGCCTGCAGCCTGAGCAGATCTCCTGGGTCGCCTCTGGCCACCTTGCCTGACTCAACTCGGAAGCCCCAGTGCCCTTTGCCCCGGAGGCTAAAATTCCTCCCTGGGCCTACAGTTTCCTGGCAGGGATGTTTTAGACCATTTAGACCCTGGGCAAAGAGATTGGAACCCCAGCAGTTGTGAGGCCTGGTTGATCTGTCTTGCCAAAGCCCACCCTGGGGTTTGACTGGGGGTCCTGGTAAGGTAGCCCGGATCCCATCTCTTTCACTTCTCAGCTAGGGTGGAAAACTCCAGAGGGATGAGGTTTAGGGTCACAGAGTGATTAACCCTTGTCACCACCCTCCACATGCAGGGTCAAAGGGTGTGATGAAAACAGGGGGCAGGGCAGGCATGGTTTCAGCGCCTCTGATGCTTATAGTCTGGGCTCCCATCTCCCATCAGCCGAGACAGGAAGCTAATACTACTCCTCCGGGGACTCGAGGTCAAAGGATGTAGCCCTGACAGCCGCTGGGACACAGGCCAGGGACCCACAAGCACTTGTTCAACTGTGTTGTTTAGACTTCAAAGTTTAGACCCAGAAAGGGCCGGTGATACCTTAATGGTTTAGGGCTACAACATCTAGCTGGAAGTGGTTCCCTCCCCAGATCCCTCTGGGTCCTGCAGATGGGGGATCGAGGAAGAGGCACGGCAGAGAATGAGGCTGTGCGTGAGATCAGGGAGGTCCCCCCGACCCCCATGTTCCAAGCTAGCCTAGCAGCCTCGGGTTGGGGTTCACATGGCGTTTGGGAGACCCTGAAACTTTTAAAACTGACTGGTAGGTAGGACGGTTGCATGCATGCATATTATATTATACAGATCGTGGTCCTACAGTATATCTGGGGAGCTCTGGCTCCAGGACCTCTGTGGACACCAGAGCATTAGCATATAACCCACCAACATCCCTCCCAGATACTTAAAACCGCCTCTAGTGACTTATAGAATACCTAATGCAATTCATTGTCATATAAATAATTGTTATACTGTACTAATTAGGAAATAATGGCTGAAAAATGTTTGTGTATATTTAGGGTGACGAGCAATGTTTTCCTGAATATTTCTATTCCGTGGTTAAATCCATAGCTACACAGATCTGACTGTTTATATATACAATATTATATAAGAAATATATTACACATGAAATTAATTGTATAGAATGTGGTTAAAAATAGATACCTATTGAGCTTATAAATTAATTTTATAAATATATGTGTATATATGCATTTTAAAAAAATACGTGTAGTCTTCAGTTTGCATCTCAGCTTCATTGATAGGTTATGAAACTAGGAGGCTGCTGTTCCTTAGGTGAGATTAAGACTTTGTGTGAGGTCAGGTGTACCCTCTGGTCTCTTTATTTTCTCCCTAGCCGTGCCTCACTTTCCCCATCTGTGGAATGGGACAACATCACCTTTATCAGAGATTTACTATGTGATCCAAACTACAACTATAAGCAAACGCATAAATGAACAGCAAGGGAAGGCAGACTGGTTAGGGTTCTCTCGTGGTGGGTGGTAGTGATTTGAAGGTGACAGGTGGGTGACAGATGGCTGCGACACATAGGCTTTGCCAGCAACATTCGGTACACACCCTCTGATAGGATTATTTCCAAAAGATGAGAAGTATAAAACAAAAGAGGCCTTTATTCTGAGAACACGGAGAGAGAGAACGGACACCCCCGACCCCTGGAGTCTGGCTTTCTCTCTGGCGGACACGTGGGGCGGGGGTATATAAGTAGACTAAGCTTAGGGTAGTGCTCTAGGGCCATTAGAGATGCACAGGTATCTCATTGGCACACGTTTGGCTCCAGGGGCAGATTCCTAAGGGTGGGGGGAGATAAAGTCACAGGTAAATCCCTAGGGGTGGGGGAGATCGGAGCTTCCTGGTTCTGGTTGAGGCTTTTCTGGCTACAGTGTCCCTGTCTGGGCCAAAACCCTTTCACCCTCCATTCTCACCTGCAAAGGACAAGTGGGCCCAGCTGCAATGCCCTACAGCTCGCCAAACAGACCTGCTGTCATTTGTGGGCAGTCATCTTGCAACAGAAACCTACACCCAGGTCTGAGAGGAATGGTGTGGACCGGGTCCCAGGTCCTTTCAAAGTCTGGGGTTGAGGTCCTGTGCATGGAAGGGCAGGGCAGCAAGAGGCACCTGGGAGTGGGCAAAACCCTTCTCCACCCCGTGGGCTGGCTTAGGGGAGGGCTCTGGACTCCCTGCTTCCCAGACTCTGACCCCATTCCTGATGCAATCCCTGACAGTGCCCTGCAGCTCCCTGACAACCTGGGGAGCCGATGGTCTCAAATCTGGGGAGAAGCCTGGCAACTGTAATGCAGGAGAGTAGGGGAGAACCGGGGCCCTCACATGCCTGCCTGGGACTTCTTCTGGGCACAATCCTGGGAAGCACAGCCTCAAGTGTGGATAGAGACTGTACTGTCTGCTTTCCTGGACGGAGCAGAGACTTCCAGTATTTTGGAGCCATCGAATCGCATAGCAGATTTTTAGGGGCCAGCAGCCACATTCTGGGTGCTGTCCGAACATTTATCCCTGTTTGCTCATTTCCTCTGACATCTCCGTGGGCCAGATGTTATTATTATTATCTGTGCCATTTCACAGACAGGTAAAGTGAGGCTGGGAGACTGGGTTGACCTGTGTGGTACCAGGCCTGAGGTTCTAAGGCCACTTTCAAAGGCCAATTTCAGTCCTCACTGCAGGCCTGCCAGGCCCATGCTTCTTTGTTTCACAAATGTGGAAACAGGTCAGACTAGAGGAGATGATGGGTGGCCAGGCACCATCCTGGGTTTTCTGTACACATCAGTCAAGCAAGCTGTGACAGCCATCATCCCCACTCTACAGATACCACCTAGGAGAAGTAGGGGCCCCTTGCAGTAATGTTTGGGGTGCATAGAGAGGATACAGGGGAGCTGCTAGAGGCCTAGGGAAGCTCTTGTCTCCTCACCTCCTGCTGACTACGGGCTGATTACCCCAGGACACCTCCTCTGCTGGCCCCTGGCCTAGTTGGGTGAGGCTGTTCAACCCCTGCTTTCTCTGGGAAAGGGCTATATTTTTTTTTATTCTAATCAGTCTCCTGCAGGTCCCCCGAGGCGGCTGGCCACCCTCCAGGACTCAGGCTGGGAAGGCAGCCAGTCCCCAGGCAGAGGTCCCAGAAATCGAGCTGGGGAGCATAAAGATGAGGGGAGACTGAGTCCCAAAGAGGGCTGAAGATCACCTCCAGCCCCTCCTCCTGAGATGTGGATACTCAGTCACGCAACCGTCCAAGAGGCCACTGCTAATAATTGGCTAAGCTGTGACTTGAACCCAGCCAGCTGGCTCCCTGGGGCGCTTTACTCCCTCTCCAGGGCCAAGGCCAAGCTGCTGCACCTGTCCCCAGGAGGATGCCCTCATGGTGTCGTCCCAGGTGATATTGAGCCGAGAATGAGGTATTTCCCTTCCCGAAGGAGTCCAGCTGTCACACTTGCCAGTGTTTAGGCCATAGCTAAGCCCAGTGTGTGGAGCCTCCCAAAGCTACTTTCCACCATGCGATCACAGTTACAAATGTCTCTCATTTGTACTTGAGGGCCCTGAAGGTGGACGAGGGTCTCAGCAGGAAAGTCAAGGGGTGCAAGGCCCACAGTGGGGTGGGGAGATTGTCCCGGTCCTGTTCAAGTCCTAGCAGGGTCAAGTCTGTCTCCCCCTTGCCTCTCTGTACTTCCACTTGGAGGCCAAAACCCCAGCGTGGTGATGGCAGTTGTGAGGGCAACGCAATGGCAGCATGGGATTGATGACAATGTCCCCCCTGGGCGGGCTAAGGGCCTGGAGTCTGGGGCTCACTGCAGGATTGCTGCTTCTGGCAGTCCCAAGAGGGGGCCTGCTGGGACAGGAGGGACAAAGGACAGGTTCTACCCTGCCCTGCCGCTGAACAGATGGGAAATCCCGGGACACGAAGAAGGGAGATGTGCATGGCGTCCAGATGTTGTGTCCAGTTCGGGTCCTTTGCTGGACAAACAAAGCTGCTGCTGCTGCTTTACAAAAAAACAATGCCCAAGCACGGGTGCACCCAGCTTCAAGGTCACGATGCCCCCGCCCCTCCCCTTCCTCCCATCCCCCACCACAAAGCAGTCACCTGCCACACTGATCTACAGCATCAGTGTCAGCCCTGGTGCACCCTGAAATACTGCAGTGCACCCTTGTCCTCAAAGCACCCTGAAATACTGCAGTGCCTGGACCCCAGACCCAGCTGTTTAGGCTCACTGGGCTGGGGTGGGTTTAGGGCCTTGGAATATTCTCAGGACTCTCAGCCAGCCCTGAGAACCATCTGTGAAGATGATTATGACTGCACGCAACAGAAAACTCAGCTACTGTTCTCTTAAACCGCAAGGCTCTTCAGTCTTTAACTAAGAAGTCTAGGGTAGGTGGACCCGGCATTGGTTAAGCTGCTTAAAGATGAAGGACCCAACATATCATTCACCTGTTCAAATTCATTGTAACAGACCATCATTTGTTCTGTCAAACTCATGCTCACAAGATGGTTGCCACTGCTCTAAGCATCAAGCTCCTCCAAGGACAAAACAGGAGCTGGGATAAGAAGTCATTTTGTTCCCCACTCTCTCTCTTTTACTAAGGAAGAAAGTCTTTCCTTGGAGCACTCCTACAGGAGCATGTTTCATCTCTTTGGACAAAACTGGCTATATGTCCACCCCTGGATAAATCATTGACCAAGAGGATGGGACTGGAACGATCATGCTCATGCATGGAACAAAGCACATTGCTTCTGGTACAAAGCTGGGTCCTGCTGCCCAGGAGAAGCGTGTGGTCAAGGCTGTTGGGTGGGTCATCAGCAGGACCTGCTATACTGGGTGACATTTGCCAGCTGCATAGCGCCTATGCTCAATTCTGCTGGGCTCCCTGTTGCTTGCGAGGCTCATCCTTGTCACTTCCGACAGAGGGAGTTGGTTTATTTTCTGGGGTGCCCGCTGTTCCCTGCTATTCTGCACATGAACGTACCCCAGCATGTCAATCCATTCGAATGCGGACGGGTGTTCATTCATTCCTCCAAATTGCTGCTATGAATATTCTTGACTTTTTGGGGGCAAATATATGCCCATGACTCTTTGGGGTGCACAGCTAGGAGAGACTTTTTAAGTCATAGGATTTATGTGTGTCCAGCTTCACTCCCATTTTCCCACACAGCTCTGCCCGTGCTGGGAATCACTGTGGTACCCCTCACCTGGCTCCCTAACACTAGTATTTTCTATCTTTAGCATTTGAGTGACTCTGTTGACTGCAGAGTGGTCTTACATTGGGGTTTTAATTTTATTTTCTCCAGACACTCATGAAACTCTGCACCTTTGGTTCTGGTTACTGGCTGTTTGGATGTTCTCTCTGTGATGTGCTGACCTAGTTTTTGGGGTGGCAGTTAACCAGAGCCCCGGGAGCCTCCAAATAAGACAACATGCTCTAGACTGCAGGTTTCTATGAACTGGCTAAGCAGGATGGGCTCCCGGGACAAGTGGGATTCAGGCTGCTCGGGGGTTTTCTGGAGCCAGGGTACAGGCAACAGCTCCACAAGCTGTTGCTGCTCCCAGAGATGGCAGCAAACCAGGTGCGAACCCTGCCACACAAGCTCTTGTTACATGCCGCTTGCATCACGTCCACTGGTGTTTGCTGGGTCCTGTGTGTCACTTGGACTTGGGCCAGTATCTGTGGGCAAGGGAGGAAGGGAGCATCTGCCTCCAGCAGAGAGAGTTCGTGTTTGCTGAGCAAGCCCAAGTGTAGCTCTGGGCTTTTGGGTCTTTTTTAAAAGCCCCCATGTGATTCTAGCGTTCAGTCAGGGCCAAGGACCATTGACCCCCTGTCACACTGCAAGTCAGCCAGCCAAAAGGGAAACCAGGCTGAGCTGATTTTATTTCATTTTCCAAAAGCAGCTGACTCAACCAACCCTTCTTTTTTAAAAAAGAGAGTCTCTGTAATTAACATGGAAGAGTGTTTCAATGATTGATTTTAACTAGTTTGTAGCTTGTTCATTTCCAGTGTTTCTGACCCTCCCACAGCAAAGAGCACTGGGTAGGATGCCATTGGTGATCCGGAGGAAAGAATGTATGCAGAGCTCCAGAGGGTGGGATCTGGAGCTGCAGGGGCACTGGTGTATCGCCAGGGGAGTGCCTGGTACACAGTAGATGTACAATAAATGATCTTTCAATGTGTACATGTATAGATAGGTTTTCTGCAATGGAAAATGAGTCATGGGTTGGTGGGTGTTCGCAAAGATAGATACATAAGTGGATGGACAGAGGAGCATGGTGGGTGAGTGAGCAAATGAATAGGAGAATGGATGATGGAGAGATGGGTAGATGAATAAATGGGTGGATGAACGATCGGAAGGTTGGGTAGATGGGTGCATGGTGATTGATGGGGAGTGGAGGGAGAAGTGGTTGGGTGGTGGATACAAGGGTAGAGGATGGACATGGGGTGTGGGAGGTGGGTGTATAGGAGGGTGGATAACGGGTGGAGTGATGAATAGATGAGTGGATGGATGAATGTGGACAAAGGGGTGGTTGGGCAGATTGCATGATCACGTCCAAGAATAAAAAATGAATGTGTAAATGTCAGAAAAGCCCAGGCTTCCCTGTGGGTGAACATAACTCTCTTGTGAAAACATTTAGTGACCAGGGTGGTCTGGGTCTCCCCACAGGGTCCTCTGATTTGCTGTTCCTCCTCCTGCTGAGGGTCTCTTCTGGAGACCGGGGTGAGGGGTGGCAGAGATGGCGATGCAGATCAGTTCTCGGGGCAGACAGCGTGCCATCGGGAATGAAGAATACAGCCTGTACAGCAGCCTGAGTGAGGAGGAGCTGATCCAGATGGCCATCGAGCAGAGCCTGGTGGACAAGACGAGGGGCTCAACCACTACTGGCTCGACCCCTACTGAGGCCACTGGGTCAGCACGGGCCAACAGCCAGCCGGCCCATTTCTACCCCTGGACCAGGTGAGCAAGGCCAAGCTGACCAATGAACAAGGCCGTAGTGGGTACCCCTAAGCTGCTGATCCCAAATATTATCCATGCTGACATTATTCTGCTCTGTAGGATGCTTTTTAACACTGTAGTGATTTCCATGTATCTAAGCGTAAAGGAGTTTGGTGACTGGTATACAGTTGTCCTTGGTGACCTAGGGAGATGAGTTCTAGGTTTGGTATCCATGGATACCAAAATCTACCCTAAATGATATAATATTTACTTATAATTCATACGCATCCTCATGAATACTGTAAACTACCTCTAGATTACCTATGCAATGTAAATACTGTGTAAATTGTTGCTACCCTGCATTGTTCAGGGAATAATATCAGAGAGGAAGTCTGCACACGTACCGAGGCATTTTGTTCAAATACTTTTGACCTGAAGTTTGTGAATGCAGAGCTTATGGTTCCTGAGGCCTAACCACACACTTGGTGTCATTTCACCTGCTCACATCTCTCTGGCTGTCTCTATTCTACCCATTTTCCAGCTAAGGCAACCGAGGCTCGGGGCTGGGTGACTCATCCAAGGTGACAAAGCTTGTCAGTTGCAGACATTGAAACTAACTGGCTCCAAAGCTGGGGCTCTGACCTTGCAGCCCTGGCCTCGCAGTAGAGCAGTGTAGATCTGAGGTGGGGTACAGTCAGCTCCTGCACTCTATCTGTGCAGCCTCTGGAAGGCAAAAGTCACGAGTTCCAGCAAAGCCAGCCTGCTTCCTTCGGCTGCCCTCTCAGCACTGGACCTTTGAGGAGCAGCGACCCCCAGTGGGACGAGACAAGAGCCACAGCCATGACACACAGATGGATTTCAAAACTCTAGGGGCCCCAATAGCAAGCAAAGAGAAAGTAGAAATTAATTTGCACATATATTTTGTCTCAAATACTACCATTTCCATGTGTCATCGATATAAAAATTAAGGGTGATACTTTTATCTTCTTTTTTTTTCCTCTAACAAGGAGACCCAGCATCTATTTTATACTCACGGCATATCTCAGTTCCAAGCAGCCACATTTCAAGCTCTCCCTAGTCGAGTGTGGCCAGAAGGTGGGGGCCAGAGAGGTAAACAAGCAGTTGGTCAAGTGCTGTTTGAAAAGATACAGAAACCATACAAATGCCTTTGCTTCCTCCTGAGCCAAGGTCAGGTGTCTATGGGGAGGGTTGTGGTAAGAGTCCTGTCAGTGTCACTGTGGATCGTGGGTCTCAGTGTCTCTCTCCAGCAGCCAGCTGCCTCCCTGGGTGACCTTGGAAAGCCACTTAAGCACTCAGCGCCCCTGCTTCCTCCTCTACTCTCCCAGTGCAGTCATAGTTGATGAAGGTGGGTGACAGTGTGGCTCATTCTGTCCCTCAGGGTACCTTTGAGGGTTCTCCTGCAAGTGACACTGGACTTTCCCCAGATGAATCCCACTGTCAGTCTGGCCAGGCCAAGGCCCTAATGTGCAGTGCCCAGGTTCCCCTTCTAAAGGGGAAGATGGTGGCTTTTTGGGCAGCTGGAGGAGTACGAGATTGCTAGGTTCCTGGTCTGTCCCTGAGGTCACTGCTTCTGGAACCCAGTGGAAGAAGCAGAAACCCATGGGCAGGACTTGGTTCATCGCGGCCAGGTTCAAGGAGGCCTTGGTTCCTGTTCTGGCTCAGGTTCAGCTAACAAGTCAGACCACAGGTTCCTCTTCCTCAGGAGGGGACCTGATAGAGATCTGGCATCCTCCCTCCAAAGACGGGGCCTGCTGCACGAAGCCACATGTCAGTCCATTCCCCCACCCCCAGCACCTGCAGCCCTCTCCCCAGTGCAGGAGCTCCTTCTGGGAGTCCTGAGGATGCTGAGAAACATTATGAGGGGATCCATGAGCTCCAGTCCTGACCCCTCCTCCACATACGGGCAAGGAAGTGGAGTCCCACACTGGGCCATCCACAGTTATCCTGCCTCCTGGGCAAAAGGTCTCACAGGGAAATGAAACCACTTAGCCCAGGTCAGGTAATCCCCATAGACCATCATGCATTGCGGCAGAGGACCAATTGCAGCTTCTCAACCTGACTGGGCCGGATGACGCCTGGGCTCTGTTCTGTCCCTTTGTGACAAGAGGGAGATTAGGCTTGGGCCCTGCTGGGGGAGAGAAAGTTCCTAAGGTGAAGCCTAATGGACTCTCCTCCTAGCTACACACTGAGCTCCTCCCATACCGGGCAGAGGTTAATGCACTTGACACTTGCAAAAGTTACTCGTGGTGCTTGGTGCTGTACCTACGTAACACAGCACACAGCAGGACCAGGAACTGAACCAAAGTCAGCCAGACTCAGCAGTTCACAGGCTCGGCCAGACTCAGCCAGTTCTGCACGGGCCTCTTTCTGTCCCTCCCCTCCCCCACCTGGAGGAGGGTTTGGTCTCATGACATCTGCTTCCCACACACACAGGGTTCTGAGTGGGTACCGGGCCCAGAGAGCCCTGCTCCTTGTTATTCCTGAATAGCCCAGTTTCCACCCGATAGATCCAGAGCACGGCCGTGGCTTGCATCTCTCATGTGTCTGTTTCTACCATTAACCTGTCAGCTCCTCGAGGGCAGGGACCTCAGGTCCTGCTTCTCTATGAAGCCTCAGGCCTAACTCATGGCAAACAGCAAGTAGCTGCCCATGAACAACTGAGTGGATGGGTACAGAAGAGGCAGTGAAAAAGAAGGAGGTTTGGGGGTTCAGATCCTTCCTCTGTCACATATCGACTCTGCACCCTCAGGTAATTTCTTTCCCTTTCTGAGCCCCAAAGACCTAATGCCTAAAACAGCAATAACCAAAGCTCCCTCTGCTCACCCCACAGTGCTTCCTTTAAGTGCTGGAGATGGAGTACGGGGCCTCGTGTACACAGGCAAGAGCTGTCCTGCTGAGCCGCGCCCCCAGCGCCCCTGAGCTGCACCCCCAGCCCAAGGGACAAAGTTTGACCTGTGCATGGGGATCATTTCCCTAGCTTGGGCTCACCAAGGGCTCCCACCAGACATAGTGTCCGTGCATCAATGAAGCAGGAGCACAGGTATCAAGATGGACCAGGAAGCCTGGTCTTCGTGGTCTTCACACTTCTGTATCTTATTTAAGGTTACATTTCTAAGAAGGAATGAAGACACAGAGAGAAAGCGTGAAGCAGGAACTTGTGGGGGCTGCACATGGCTGACGCTGACGTCCAGCATTAAGCAGCCCATGTCTGCCCGCCTCTGCAAGGGGCCAGGGCCTTTGGGATCTTAGCTGTGGCCTCCTACGCCGAAGTGCAAAGGCAGGGCAGGTCCAGAGGCAAACAGCAGCCCAGCAGGGGTAGCCAAAGAAAGAGCTTGCTAGGTTTCAAAGAGAAAGACAGGGCCGGCCCTACCTGGGCCTCTCCTAGGACGTGACCTGTAGCCACATCCTGCCAACCAGGTTCTCACCCTTGCTCTGCTGGGAACTCCCCTGCTGAGGAGGAGAGGAAACGGGCCTCCAGCCTTGGGTCAAAAGAGCACGAAACCGATTAGAGGCCCCAGGGATTCATTCAGCCGGAGAGTTCATCAGAGTTGATCGTGGGCACCCTGAGCAGCCACCCCGCCTGGACCCCAGACCAAGTAAACAGGGAGGCAGTGGGAAGAGAAGTAGGTTTGGGGGTTCAGATCTTTCCTTTACTCTAGAGTGATTTCCATGCATCCAGCCCCTTCCTGAGGCTCTGCTGTTGTGTGCAACTTGTCTGTCCATCCTGAGGAGACACAGCAAGGCCTGACTTCCTAATGTGCACCCCAGCTCCCAGCACAGAGCAGGAGCTAGAGCTTCACTGTCGGATAGAACTCAGTGTATCTGTTTCCTCATCTGCCAAATGGGAACAAGGGAGGCCTGACTCCATGAAAGACAGGAAGAAGATGGATTGGAGACGATGCTTGGAATGGCTTTGTGACCATTTGTCTTGCAAGAAAAGAGAGCTGTCACTACCATGTCACTTAACCTCCAGCAGCCTCAGTTTCCTCCTCTCCAGGCCAGGAGCTGGGGCCCTGGTCCCAGAAGTTCTCTGGCCTCCCACACCAGAACTGTGACCCTTGGATCTGTTTCATGGACTGAGTTCCTCCACAGCCACAGGAGCCTGAGGAACCCCCAAGTTCCCACCTCCGTATTTTGAGGCACAAAGAGGGAAAAGCCTTGTTCCAAGTTCAGGGCCTGTCAGTGTGGTGGCCGGGGGGGAGGGGGTAAAGGGGTGCGAGGGAGACCCCATGTGTGGAGGAAGATGGCCTGAACCTTGGCTTTGCTCACTTACTGCTGTGTGTGACCTGGAGCAGGTACCACTGTCTTGGGGCCTCAGTTTCCTCATTTGTAAAGACAGAATGTCAGCATCCTATCCTCGGGCTGAGAATGAGGATTAGTGAACGCTTACAGGACAAAGGCCTCCTACTTGGCCTGGGGGCTTAAGCAGAGGCCAGAGAAGGAAGGACGGGGAGGATGAAGGTGATGAGGGCATCACCCTGGAGAGCCTTCCTAGATGCTTGGCTCCGTGGCTTGGCCTTGCAAGGGCCGCAGAATCTGCAGCTTCTGGTCGGTCTTGGGAGAATGTGGGTCCTCATCAGGGTCACCAGTGCAGTGTCCACGCCCCAAAGGGTGCCAGTCACAGAAGTGATGTCTTCCCTGACCCCAAGGACAGCCCCTTCCCAGCGCCTCCAGGCAGCAAAGATGGCCCTGGTGGGGTAGCCGCAGTGCCAGGGTTGATCTTCCAGGAGGAAAGAGATGGGACCAACCAGCCCAATCTTATGGCAGACCCAGCCAGTCCGAATCACAGTGTGGCTGCCACATCTGCTTTCTGCACCAGATGGGGAGGGGAAGTGGAGGTTCAGGGAGGAGAATTATGAAGTGAACCACTGACCGTCTCGAGCCTCTCTGTGCCTGACACTTCAGTAAGCACTTCATACCATTCATGGCGCTGGGGCTCAGTGGCTGTCAAAACAGGGGGTCCTCTCAGGCCACTTACAGGTGGGGAAACTGAGGCACAAAAGAGGCCAACCTGTGCCAGGTCACGCAGCTATGCAGTGGCAGGTGGCATCTGCCTGACTCTGAGTCCTGGCCCTGTGACCTTCCTGGTGTACCCCTCTGTGACCTCTAGCCTTAGTTAATGCCTGACCCTCTCACCAGGAGCCCTTGAGGGGTGAGGTGGGGTGCACACCTGCAGCCTGGCCCCCGTGTTGCCCCACCTGCCCACCAGTCTCTTCTCCAGTCCCGTTGGGAAGTGGCAGAGCCCCTTTTATCCAGGGACCTGCTGCTGACCACTTCTCATATCCTCCCCGGCAAAGAATGTCACCTTGTTCTGTATCTGCAGCCCTCCTGGTTGGCTGGGGAGGGGGCAGGCGGGGGTAGGCGTGAGGTTAACCTCATTGTTGTCTTATATGGTCATTTAAATCTCCCAGGGCTTCCTCCAAGGGCCAAAAATAATCCAGAGACACAGCAGCTGTGTCCAGCACACAGAGAGGACCCAGCCATCTGCTTTGGTTCAGAGCCCTGTGTCTGTCACTCAGCCTCTCTCCCCAGCTCCGCTCCATCCTCTCTCCTGCCTCCAGCCATGACCCGCTTCTCCTATGCAGAGTACTTTTCCCTGTTTCACACCTGCTCCGCACCCCCCAGGTCCACAGCGCCTGCCGAGAACCCAACGGCCCGGCCCCCGCTGGGTTTGTTCCAGGGGGTCATGCAGAAATACAGCAGCAGCCTGTTCAAGACCTCCCAGCCCGCGTAAGTGTCCCCCGCCCGGCGCCCACATCACCAAGCTCACGTTCTCAGCTGTCATGGCAGGGAGGGCGGGGGCAGAGAGCATATCTGAAACCCCAGGGTAGCAGAGACGCTGCCGAGTCACCTACCAGGCAAGTCCTCCTAGGTATGCCTCCCTGGAGCCCCGTTGCTCCTGTGTCCCCCCACTGACCCCTTAGATGGCCCAGGCTGAGACCTGTGTCCTAGAGGAGCCTCACAGGGCTTTGAATCCAGGACCCCAGCAGGAGGGAGACTAGGGAGACCCCAGAGTCCCAGAGAGCTAGGAGGTGGAGTGGAGGAATTGCCCCATCTTCTGTCTGTCCTGTCTCACATCCACCATGCCACCTTGCAGGACCCATTGAGTACACCCCCAAGGCCCAGACCCACAGCTTTGGCCTTTCTTGTATCTTCATTTAAGTGTCGAGTGCCAAAACCCAGAAGTGATCTTTGCCACAGGAGGGATTCTGTTTGCCTGGCACAGTGGGACCTTTGGGAAACGGCTGTGTCTTCCTTCCCTTTCTGTCCCCAAGGACCGACCCGGCTAAAAGCAGGAGAGGGCCCCATGCTGCCCCCGCTGTCCCTGTGCTGTTGTAGATCAGGGCAGCACAGCAGCCGTGGTCCTCACAGAGGCCAGGCAGCCCTCTGTCTGCTCCTCCTTCTGCTTCTCCTTCCCAGCCTTCCAAACCCTGTGGCTGCCTCCTCCCTGGTGCCCAGGTGGCTTTGATGCCCAACTGGAAAAGAGACGAGGTTCTGGTCTTCTCAGTCGGCCACTTCCTGCTTACTTGCACAAGAGGGCTTGGTCCCCCTGGATCTCCCACAAGATTGGAGAGGACAACATGGCCCTTGGGGTCCTGTTTGGCTTCAGTCTCTGGTAGCCTGTCTCCCCCCAGCAGCCTGCCCACCCTTAGGGCGGGGACTTTGAACCCTCAGAGGAGCTGCCAGAGTGTAGTCCTATCCTGGGTCCAGGTCTCCTCCCACTACAGCTGGACAGACTCTCACTGTCAGTGGGTCCTTAGATCCTTCTCATGACACTGCAAGGCTATGAGACTAGCCAACCTATTCCCTTCCACATCAGTGGGGTCACACTGAGACCTCCCAAGAAGGGGAACACCTACCCAATGGGGCCTTTCTGAGGCCCCCAGGTATTGCTTGGTCTGCTCCTAAGTGGAATTCATCCAGGTGGCCATGATGGAGTTGATGGGACCTTCAGGACTGAGGGGGTCACTTTCCCGTCGTCCTTGCTGATCTGTAACTTCACTGGCTTCTGTGTCCTGTTGCTATTAATAACCCGGGAGGCTGAGAATCAAGAGGAAGTGCCGATCCCTGAAGGAAGTGGCTAGAGGGGCTGGCCTGGGGACCTCAGAGCCCGTCCTAGCACCTGCATGGAGGGACTCTGGGCAGGAAGAATGGGGTTACTTACGCAGAACCCTCCCCAGAAGTGGATTAGGAAGTCACGGCAGTCTTACTCCTCACAGTCTCTCCAGTGATGGAGAAGGAAGCTCAGTAAATGTACAAATGAATGCTCAGAGAATGAATGAATGAATGAATGCTTGGCAAATGAATGGACAGGTGAGCAAAGTGACTTAATGAGCCAGGCAAAGATGTCCTTGGCCATAGCCCTGACTTTTAAAAATGTATTTATTTTTTATTTTATAAGTTGTCAGTGTAAAGGCTTCAGATTTATTAAGTTGCCAAGTATTCCCACTTTCCAGCAGCTCTCTCTGCTAGGAGTGAGGCTGGGGACAGGTAGGAGTCAAGGTAAGTGAGAGGCTTGCTGTGCTGCCTGGAGGAATACTCAGAGGCCCAGGCAGCCCTGCAGGAAGCTGTGCTCAGGGAAGGCACTTAACTGGTGCAGAGCCCCTCCTGTGGGGTGTATCCTTTCCTTTGTAGGCTGCTGTTCGTATGGCATCCTCTTAGTAGATAAGGTCTTGGTACCGCATTAGCTGTAGCCATGGAAACCACAGGAATGGAGGGAGGTTGTCCCTTCCTGCTACAGCCACTGGGGTTGCAAGGGCTGAGTGCTGGTCTTGGACCCAGCTTAAGGGACAATGACGACTGGAGGGCCCCACTGTGGCCCTGGTTCCTGGCTACCAGTGGACACTGCCTGCCCTCTGGAGACAGGCTACATGCCCTGCCTCTGTCTACACCTGAGACTTGGCTGTTCCTTTGCTCTCACAGGCCCATGGACCCCGTGCTAAAGGCCATCAAGGAAGGTAATGAAGAGGCCTTGAAGGCCATGATCAAGGATGGGAAGAATCTGGGGCAGCCCAACAAGGAGGGCTGGCTGCCGCTTCACGAGGCTGCCTACTACGGCCAGCTGGGCTGCCTGAAGGTCCTGCAGCGAGGTGAGGCCAGTGGTGGGAAAGGGCCTGGGCAGAGACAGGCAGAGACACTGCAACTGTCCTCTGAACAGTTGCAGTCACCAAATTGGGAGAGGGAAAGTGACTTGTCCCCACCTCACCCCAGCCTACACCCTCTGCTGCCATCTTTCCAGGCCTCTCAGGACAGGAGAGCCTGATTCCTAGAAAAGGAATAAAGAAAGGCTTACTTTTGGGCCAGCCACTGCCAGCATGTTCCAGCATGTTCCAGAATGTTCCAGGGGCTGATTTGGTGTGGAAAATACTGCAGCTGCACCCAAGTCCTGCCAAAGTTGTATCTCCCACCATCTGTGGGACCCTGGGCCAGTCACACTGCCTCACTCAGCCCCTTCTTTGCTGTGAGCTGGATTCAGATGAGTAACACCTGCAGTCAGGTGTCACTAGGCCCTGATGTGAACCAAACCACACAAAGTCCTGCACACTCCAAGAAATAGCTACAGGAGAGGTGAAGTTTCTATGGTAGCAGTTGGAGTGCAAGAAGAGGACACGCGTGCAGGGATAGTGAAGGGCTGGGACACAGGAGAAGGCTGCTTATAGGAGAGGCAGAGTCTGAACTGAATTTCTAAGACCTGGAAGCTGAGCCATTGCTGGGAAAGGGCAAGGTGACGGCCCCCTTCAGAGGAGGCCATGCATTTCCTGCTTTGGAACTGGGAAGAAGCTGGGACTGCTCAATCCTGCGATGTAGGCCCCTTCTTTCTTCATGCATTTCCTGGTGTGTCCCCTTAGCTTACCCAGGGACCATCGACCAGCGCACCCTGCAGGAGGAGACAGCTCTGTACCTGGCAACATGCAGGGAACACCTGGACTGCCTGGCCTCTCTGCTCCAGGCCGGGGCAGAACCTGATATCTCCAACAAGTCCCGGGAGACCCCACTCTACAAAGGTATGTCCCCCCCTCCCACATGGCGGGAGTCCTGAAGCTAGGTGGGCAGGCAATGTGTGTGGCCCCCAAGTGGTCTGCTTTGAAGGGGGAGCCCTGGCACTGCATAGCTTATTCCCCAATTCGTGGATGCATGTAAATGCCAACATTGCCAAGCTCTTCAGAGCCCTTCCTGACCAGGCACCCTGAGGGACACTGAGGGCTCACAGATGAAAGGATGCAGGTCTTGCCTGCACTTTTCCAGCTCACTGGTGCAGAGGTGGGGTGCACTGTGGGGGTGTAGGAAAGGGGTCCTGAGAGTGGGGGAGTCTCCACAGAAAAGATGCTTGAGCTGAACCAGGAGAAATATGCTAGCTGGCCAGGCCAGGGAGCAGCATGGGCAAAGGCAAAGAGGTGGGAGACAGCCAGTGGGATGTTCATTTAACACAGTAATATCTCGAGACTTCCTCAGGGGATCATCCATAGACATCTACTGACTGCCCATGAATGACCCAGGGTCAAAGTCTGAACAAGCACTGTAGCTGCCATTTATGGGGTGCTTACTATGAGCCAGGCTGTCTTGGTTATTTTTCCCTTGTTGCTTGGACAAAACACTCAGTTCCCAAAATGAAGGAAGGAAAGGTTTATTTAGCTTACAGTTTGTGGAGGTTTCAGTCCATAATCAGCTGGCTTGAAAGCAGGGTGGCACATAGCAGAGGGCAATATGTTCATGGCAGTGGAACATAGCACAAGCAACAAGAACAAAAGAGGAGAAGCTTATATTGTATGTAGGTCACCCATGAGTGTAACACTCACATACCCAATCTCAGCATTGGACCATGAGTCATTCACAAACTCTAGAAACCCACTTCCATGACTGCATGAGGCTTTGGGGGGACATCCAGATTCAGACCATAACACAGGCACTGCTTTTTTCTTGGGCCCACATGCAGATCTCCATACAAGGCTAGCAGAGGAGGTAGGCACCATTATTATTCCCATGTTATAAATGAGGATATAAGGTACAGAGACATGAACTGAGTTGCCCCAATCACACAGCCAGCTAAGTATGGCCTCCAGCTCAGGGAGCATCTAGCTCATGCTCAGCTGCTTAAACAACCAGCCTGGTCTCACAGGAATGATGGGGCTTTTGTGCTTTGAAAGCCACAAATGTCCCTGACTCCCCCTGTCAGGGGAGGCTGAAGTCTGTTGGCAGTGGGAAGTGGGAGCCAGTGATCCAGCCCCAAAGGGTGCCATAGCTACTACCTGGAGCCTCAGTTATCCCACAGAGAGCTCCCAGGAAGCTGGCAAGTCACAGACAGTTCAGTCCTGCTTCTAATCTCCAGGGTTGGGTCTCACCAGCCTGGTCTTCTTTAGTCCTTCTCCTAACATCTTCTCTTGATCACCCCTTGATCCCCCGTTTTATGGTGAAAACTCAGAGAGATGGACAGCTGGGGCTTTGGTCCTACTTGACACAGTACACAGAGAACCCCTGTCCCCATCCCCTCCTCTGACACTGGCACAGAGAGGCTTCCAGGGTAGGTACCCAGGTGACCCCAATTCCACCTACAGCTCTCTAGGGAGGCATGGCCAGAAGCCAGAGAAGGCTTCAAGTCTGGAGACAAGATGAGGTATAAGAGGAAGGACTGAACAGATTGACAAAGATGAGCTGTACTCACAAAGTCATATTTATCCCAAATTAAATGAGCCTCCTTGGAAGATAGAGTTGGGGATTTAAACAGGAATATGAACAGAAAAATCATCTAGAAAGATTCTTCCAGCTTTGATGAGGACTGAAGCAAATAACACTAGCAGAGGAGATGAGTTATGGACATCGTGGAACATTCAAGGGGGCAGAGACTCTGATCTTGACCCCCAGGGGTTTGAATTCCAGTTCTGCCACTTTGGGCACATCATCTGCCTTCCCTGTGCCTTCCCTTCCTCATGTGTGAAAGGGGATAATAAGATTATCAACCATTAACTTAATGAATCATGCAAAGTGCTGTGCCACAGAAGCCATGCTAAATACAGGCGTGCTTTCCAATCACTTAGCCCGCATTCCCACCAAGGGCAAGAACCTAGCACAGATCTTCCTGATATTTGCTGGATGAATGGCTGACAGATGAGTGAGTGAATGGTCCTGGCTGGCCAGGTCTCTCCCGGTCCCCACTGACCAACTTGTCCCTGTCGCAGCCTGTGAACGCAAGAACGCGGAGGCGGTGAGGCTGCTGGTGCAGCACCATGCAGACACCAACCACCGCTGCAACCGGGGCTGGACGGCGCTGCACGAGTCGGTCTCACGCAATGACATGGAGGTCATGGAGATCCTGGTGAGCGGCGGGGCAAAGGTGGAGTCCAAGAATGCCTATGGCATCACGCCCTTGTTTGTGGCGGCCCAGAGTGGGCAGCTGGAGGCTCTCAGGTTCCTGGCCAAGCACGGTGAGTGTCTGAGGGTTCATGGGTTATGTAGTCCCGCAGGGACCCAGCCGGAAGTGCAGGAGTCATCGTGGGGGAGTGCTGTGGTCCAGGGAGCATGTCTGTGGCAGTGCCATGTTGAGAAGGATGCTGAGCTTCTGTCTCAGCTCCATGGAGTCCTCAGTGGGAACCCTAGAGATGACTGCACTTCAGCACAAACACAGGATGTGGTCCAAGGGCCGCACATTTGCCATCTCCACGCCAGCCCAACATCCTCATTTTGTAAATGAGGAATCTGAGACCCAGAAAAGGGAAGCGACTTATCTACAGTCATGTAGCAAAATTTTTTGTAGAACTTGCCAGATTCTTGGTCTCCTGGCTCCCCAACTCTCTGCTGTGTTATACTCAAAAGCTAGAAAGGAACCTCAGACCACATCTAGAGCACTTTTGTTTTGCAGGTGATGAGACCAAGGACTGGGATGGGAAAGTGATTTGTCCAGTTTCACACAGCAAATTAGAAACCGAGCTGGGATTTGAACCCAAGCCTTTGACTTCTTTGCTTGTGAAAAATCTTAATGGAAGAAACTAAAATAATGTTTTCCTCACAATGATGCCTTAGCAGAAGAAAAGCCTGAGGCCATGGTAGGCCATCTTTTTGCTTAAGGAACGCTGTGTCCTGATCTCTCCCAAGCACACTTTGATTTCTGTCCCTCTCCAGAGGGAGGAACGCTCCTTCTCCAGCAAGAGAAGCCAGAGGTCATGCAGACCTTGGGTGTGACCTGCAGTGATTTGTGGAGGACCTGCTGGGAGCAACTTAGGTCCCTGGTGTTTCCCCCAAGGCAACATGAGCTGGACAGCGTCCCTACCTCAGTTCATCCAAGGGAACACAGAGGTTTGCAGGGCTTGAACGACAGGTCACAGTCAGAGCCTGGATTCTGACTCCATCCATCTGCCCCAGAGCTACATGCTGCTTGCACTGGGCCTGCATCCAGACCAGTCCCACCTACTCAGCACGTGCCTGAGCAGTTGGGAAGCAGACGCAAGGCACCTCCCTACAGCCCGGGACAGTGCAGGAGCAACCACACAAGAACAAAGGGACAAGGCTGGGCCCTGGGGGCCGAGGCCAGCAGGCTGAGCAAAGGGCAGTGTGCTCAGCAGGTGAGGCGGAGCTTCCCAGCTCCAAACATCTGCCCTGGGCTCCTGCCGACACTGAGTCAGGGTCCGTTCCCCCTGTGAGCTGAGTCATTTTTCAGTACAAATATTTTCCTTGTTTGAGCAGGCAGCTTTGCTAGTGAAGCCTGGATCTTTCGGGGAGACTGACTTTGAGGTCTGACAGCGAGATGGAGCAGTCAGTCCTCTGGGTCTCTCTTTGTGGAGAGGGCAGACCCAGCCTCCACTCCGGACCTTTCATCCTGTGTTGTCTTTTGCTGAGCATCCATTTCCACGCCAGGACTGTGCTGAGACATTGGCTTGCATTATCTTATTTACTCTTGAGAGGGAGGGACCACTATCCCTGGTCAACAGATGGTAAACTGAGGCTCCCAAAGGCTACCTGAGGCCACTGGGCTTGGAAGCCAGGAAAGAGAAATTACAGCTGGTCCTTGGCTTTCACCAGAGCCTGTAATCTTTCACTATAGCAGACACAGGTCCACTGGCACTGCAAATAAAGGAAGCCTGAGATGGACAGAAGTTCAGAGATGAGCTGTGGCCAGCAGAGGCATCTGATCTCAGCCCTCACTGATATGAGTTCCAGCCCCTTCTGGAACCCAGAGAACTGTGATCCTCTTCTTCCTCCTCCTCCTTCTCCTTTTCCTCCTCCTCTTTTTCCTCCTTTCTTCCTCCTCCTCTTCTCCTTCCTCCTTTTTCCCCCAGTACTAGGGCTTGAACCCAGGGCCTTCACACTGAGCTACATCTCTGCTCCATTTTTAATTGTTTAACTTTGAGATCAGGATTGCACCAATTAAGTCATCCAGGCTGGATTCCAACTTTCAACCTCCCTCTGCCTCAGCCTCCCAGGGTGCTAGGATGATGGGCATATAATCCACGACTCCTAGTTGACCCCTCTCTATTCAGAGAAGTCAAGTGTAAGACAATTCTTTCCTCACCCCTCAAATGTAGGACAGGTAGAGGTTGAGCTGCAGGCAGATTGTCACCAGGCTTGATGCCTCCTGCTCCTGCTCCTGCTCTGCTCCTCCTCCTCTTCCTCCTCCTTCCAACATGGTTCAGCAATTTATTCAGAGACAGGAAGCAATTTTCCTCTTATTTCTTGCAGAGAATAACAGATTTCAATTAGCAAAATGATTTAGGTTTTCCTTTATGAGGTGTTGTGCGCTCTGCTGGGGCTGAGAGGTCTGTTTCAGGGCAGAGCAGGGGTTCTCTCTCACAGGGATGGCTGTAACCTGATCCCTGCCATCAGACTGTGTACTATGGCCTCTGTCATCAGACTGGCTACCATGACCATGTTTGGTAAATGCCAGCATCTTTGCAGCTGCTGGCCCCTAAGAGGCCTTAGTACAGGCCCCCAGGCCCTGGTCTAGAAATTGTCTGAGGATCTGGGAGTGGCCCCAGGCATATCTCTTCTTCTAGGGGTCCTCATGAAAGATCCTATGCATCATGTGATTAACACAGCAGTGCCCAGCCTGTGGCAGGTGCTCCATGATGGCAGGGACCACCCCGATCCCTTGTGAACCTGCTTCTCTGTCACCAGGTGCTGACATCAACACACAGGCCAGCGACAGTGCATCCGCCCTCTATGAGGCCTGCAAGAACGACCATGAGGAGGTGGTGGCATTCCTGCTGTCCCAGGGTGCAGATGCCAACAAGGCCAACAAGGATGGCTTGCTGCCTCTGCACATCGCCTCCAAGAAGGGCAACTACAGGTCAGTGGGTGGCGCCACACCACAGCACAGCTCCCTGGGGAGTGGGGAGGGCTGGGGCAGGGAGGGCAGTGCACCTGCTTTAACGGCTACCCTCGGATTAGGACCGCGCAGCCTGAGTCTGCATGGAAGGGGGGCACCCTTCACGGGAAGGAGAAGGCCCTTTCAGCTGTTAGCAAGTGGGCAGCACGCGCCGGTCACAGCTGCCACAGCAAGAGCTCACAGGCCTGCAGCTCTTACCGGCACCTCACACTAGACACTTATCGACTATTTTCAGCAGCCGTGAGGTGCATCCTACTATCATCTCCACAATAGGATGAGGAGGTTACAACATAGAGGCGTCCGCTGATTTACCCAAGGTCACACTGCCTGTGGGCGCCAGGAGCTCACTTGCTCCAAATGATGCATCTGAAGGAATTTCACGCAGGGCCCCAGATATGAATCTGAATTAGTGGCTATTTCTAGGCAATGCAAAGATAACCTTCCAGGCAGTGAGCAAGCATTCAGGCGATGCCCACTACAATGGGATGGGTACTGATGCTAAAGCTAGGGGTCACCGAGCACTTCCTGTGTGCTGGGGACTAAGGGCCAGATGGGAGGAGTTTAAATCCTTAGCCTCGGCAAAGCTCTGTGGTGGTCCCAGTGGAGACAGGCTGTTAGTGGCTGGCAGTCAGCTTACTACAGAGTGGATCTCGTGGAAGCCCACTGTGGGCGCTCTTCCCAGCTCTGTGTGCATCAACCTAGATCGCTTAATACTGGCCTTGGTGGGAGTTTTTACAGCCCAGCCTTTGGAAAATGCTACAAATCAGTTCCTGTGACCTGTTCTCTCCACCTCCGCCTCCACCTCACCTGAAAGCCCGCTGCTAGATATTTATCGGCAGCACTGTGGTCGAGGAAAGGTTCCCAAAGGCAGAATTCCAGCTGCCCTGGAGGACAAATGGGGCTGGGTAATTTCCAAGGTGCAGACCATCTCTTTCCCAGGCGGGCTGCTCCATGACACTGTGGGGGCAGCTTGACCTTCATTCCCATTTCACAGGTCAGGAGACTGAGACCAGATAGTCAGGAGACTTGCCCCATAGAGATTAGACTCCTCCTGCTGGACCATCCTTCCCAAGCTATGGTCCATTCACAGCCTTTCTTTCTGATTTTAGAACATCCTCCTTGCTTAGTAATTTCCTCTGAATAAATTTTTACTTAAGGTGAATACATTAAAAGGAAACACTCATCATTCTAGTGCAGCGTTAAAATGGCCATTTCACTATTCATAAATAACTTTTGCACCTAAAATCCCATCTCATGTGCCCTGGATGACACATTGAGAAATGCTCTCATCTTCCAGGCGGGGAGAAGGAAAAGACAGGTTGGGGAAGTGGGGGACAGTGACATCACAGAGGGAAGTGAAGGCCCCAGGAGGCAGCCTCGGCCCCTGGAGCCCCAGGCCACTCCCCGCCCAGCTTTCCAAGAACTGCCCCTTCCGGCAGCATCTGCCTCCTAGCAGGGCCCATGGCCAGCCTGCCCTGGCTTCCCACTCAGGGCTACCGGTACGTGTGCATCAGAGCCCCTGCAAACCCTCCATAGGTTTCTTGGGGTTTTGATGTGACATCCTAGAGCCGTCCACGCTTAGCCACCTGCCCAAACAACCTGCCTGTCCACTGTCCCTGGCCTGCAAGGCTGCACCAGGCTGGGACTGCCTGCCAGAGGCGCGTGCTTTTTAGCTCACTTAGTGGAGGGTGTGACATCCGAGCACAGCTGAGAGGAACCCTAAGACTCCTATGTCTTAACCACCTCCAAAATATACTTTTTTTCTGTTCCTCATCTTTTGTTTGGCAAATGCACTTCATAAAATTAAAGATCAACATCAAAACCAAAATGAATCACAACCAGATGCCCAAAGACAGCCCCCAAAGTGGTCCCCAACCTTAGTACACATGGGAGTCCCTGAATTGCAAGAACCCTGGTGCCTGTGTCTCCCTCAGGGATGCTGGCATAATTGGGCTGTAGCTTCAGGGTTTCTAAATGCAGCCCCAGGGACTTTATGGGGAGAACCAAGATCTCAGGATCTCTTTTGTGGCCAATAGAAAATACACGCTTGCAGTTTAGGCCTCATTGCTGACTTCCTTCTTTTAAAATAACCCTTGATTTCACACTTGTGCATGCACACACGTGCACTCAGGCAAATGCACGTGAGAGGCAGAGCCTTCTGTGGGCAGCTGCTTCCTATGTGAAACTCAGCTTCGCCCATACCACACTGGCACTGAATGCTGACAAAGGTCAGACCGCTGTGACTTGCCACTCCAGAACATCTATGTCTGGTGCAGCACAGACATGGCTGTCTTCACCTTGAGGTACCGTGTACTGACAGCTTACTGTGCGCTGATCAAGGTGTAAGATCCCATTCGTGCTCCAAAGCAACCTTAGTGAAAGGGATTATCATATTGTCACCTGCGCATAGCAATCCCATCTTGCTGGACTGTTCTGGGTAATAAATGAGCTAAAATACTTAGCTGAAGTGAAAAACTTTAAGCAGTGCCTGACATATAATGACCATAATTATTTGGGAAGGAGAAGGGTTCAGAGCCATAAGGGCTCCACAAAGCTTAGCTATAGCTACCGTCATCATCATCATCATCACTACCGTCATGACTGCAGTATCACTCTGTTACAGGACTCAGGAGGTTAAGTGACATGGCTTAGAAGGCCCAGCACTGACAGGCAGAGCTGACTGCTCACCCTGGGTCCAAATGACTCGGAGACCCCCGTTTCTTCACGTTGCCGAGGGCAGGCTGCTTTGGCCGGGAGCCCTTACCTACTGCTCCTGGGCTGAATTCAGGCAAATATCAGAGCCCAGGACAGGCAGCATGTGAGGCCACAGTCTTGAGGAGCTGGAATCCCAGGCTGGGAGCTAAGCCCAGGCAAAGACAAGGTTTCTGTTACTCGAGTGGGAGAGGAGATGTCACAGGAACAGGGCAGGAGCTCACTCACCTGGACTGAGGCCCCAGGTCAGAGACCCTCCTGCTATGGGGCCTGCTGAGCTGCAGTGCTGGGCCTCTGGGTACAGCCCCGAGCTGGGCAGGCTGAGCGGGGAAGGAAGAAGCCAGGCCTCCCAACGCCTCAGAGCTGGGGCCCTGGTCACCTTTTCCTTCTCCATCAGTTCCTGCTGAGTCCATAGCAATCCAACCCTCACACCTACCTTCCAGAGCAGAACAACAACGCCAACATATTTCACGGGTCACTTTCTTGCCTTCCTGTCTTTGGTCTCGCAGACAGGGCTGGGAAAGAGGAATGACACACACCACAGGGCACGTGGCCACCTTTTATGTTTAGAAGTGACACACCACGGAAAGGCACAGTCCTAGGCAGCCAGATACCTCCTGTCCATCCACCTGCTGCCCACCTTCACTGTCCTCCCTGCTCCAAACCTGGACCTCAGATTTACCCTCCATAAAAGGTTGGGCAGACTGCTCCCTGGGCCCTGTCCAGCACTGTGCCTTTATTTTCTGCCAAGTTCTGCAGAAGCCTAAGGCCATGGGAAGGTTTACTGTAACCCTAAGACGTGGTTCTGGGACACAAGGCTGTGTCCCAGCAAGTTCCCACATTTCTGTCACTTTTCCTTAGTTTGGCAGGGGATAACTGGAGACCAGCTTCGACCTGCCAGAGATACCAGCCCCAGCGGGCCGACAGCCCAGGGCGGCCCCCTCCCTGACCTTTCCCGGTCTGGGCATGTCACGGCTGTTACAGAGCATTTGTTGGCCATGGCCACTGGCCAGGGCAAGGCTCCCACCCTGCCTTTGACCAGCACCTCTGCGGAGCAAGGTCAGGCCTCCAAGCCTGCACAAATAGAAATTAGGAGGCAATTAGCCCCCCTGGGTGTGTGAATTTCCTTTGGAGCTTTTAGAGGCAGATTTTAGCCAAACACAGCTTCACTAACAATAACAATACTTTCCACTGAAATCCCAGCAGGAGGTTGCTGGCATCAGATTTCCAAGGAGGCCAGAGGGAAGCAGGCATGCCAGGAGGCTCGAGGCGTGGGAATGAGCCCGGTGGCACCTGCTTCCCGGCCGGCCACGGCCACCTCCTTGAGTCCCAAATGAGGCTGTGAGGTCACCTGTCAGCAGGGATTGGATGGATTAGGGATTGGAATCTTGTTGGTGAGAGCGGTTTAGGGGCCAGAGGTCTGGGCAAAGAGAGCCAAGGTGAGGTGTGTGATCTTCTATTTGTTACTGCACCTCTCTGATCCTCATCTATTAAAAGAAAGCCATGGATTGGTGTGGCTTCCCCACAGGGCAGCGTGGAAGGTAAAATGGGGCAGACAAGTCAGCACACTGGGGAGACGACGACACCCCATAATATCTCTTATCACCATGATTGCTATGCAAGAAATAGAGGAGTGGGTAAGAACATAGCCTCACAGCTCAGACAGCCAGGGTTCAAGTCTTGGCTCCATCACTTCTTGCTGTGTGTCCTTGGGAAGGTCACATCCCCCCTCTTGGCTTGTGTTTAGACAGGACCAGGGGTCCTCCGCAGTCAGAGGCACATGGAGGGGCTGGGAGAAGCTGAGTCCACTTTCAGGGGAAGAGGTCTTGTGTCTCTTGGGAGAGGAAGCCTGGGTACAGCAGGCCTAGGGCAGGAGAGGCTGGGGACAGGCGTGTGCCCCAGGGCCCAGCAGCTTCTTCAGGGCAGCAGCGCAACATCCCGGCTTACTGTTCCTAAGTGTATGGCCCGAACAAATCCTTTGACCTCTCTCAGACTTGATTTTTCTCATCTGCAGAATGGAGCCAGGAGACATGATGTTTTGTGGGTTTCGGTAAAGAAGGAACTAAGTTTTCTCTCCCAGGCAGGAGAGGTTCCAGTTCCCCTGGGTCTCTGCTGCCTCCTGCAGCAGATTGGGGACCTCCCAGCCAGATTACCGCGCTGAACGGGGGCAACCTTTCAGAGCCTGAAATGTCTGCAGCAGGTTCTTGATGCCACAGGTTCTTGAGGTCAAGGTTCTGGGTTTGCAGCCCAGAGCCACCCCTTAACGTCTATGTGACTGTCAGACTCTAGCTAGAGCTCTCTGCACCTCGGTTTTCTTATCTGTAAGGCGGGGCCAGCGACTGGGCTACCCTCTCCAATGTGCTAATTGTGACCACGGCGGTCGCTTGGCGCCCCCTGGTGGTGGCGTCTCCCATCCGGTGCCGGCTTCCTGGTGACCTGCGCTCCTGTCTCCCCCACCAGGGTTGTGCAGATGCTGCTGCCCGTGACAAGCCGCACGCGCGTGCGCAGGAGCGGCATCAGCCCGCTGCACCTGGCCGCCGAGCGCAACCACGACGGGGTGCTGGAGGCGCTGCTGGGCGCGCGCTTCGACGTGAACGCGCCCCTGGCCCCGGAGCGCTCGCGCCTCTACGAGGACCGCCGCACCTCAGCGCTCTACTTCGCCGTGATCAACAACAACGTGTACGCCACCGAGCTGTTGCTGCTGGCCGGCGCCGACCCCAACCGCGACCTCATCAGCCCGCTGCTCGTGGCCATCCGCCACGGCTGCCTGCGCACCATGCAGCTGCTGCTGGACCACGGCGCCAACATCGACGCCTACATCGCCACGCACCCCACCAGCTTCCCAGCCACCATCATGTTCTCCATGAAGTGCCTGTCGCTGCTCAAGTTCCTCCTGGACCTCGGCTGCGACGGCGAGCCCTGCTTCTCCTGCCTGTACGGCAACGACCCGCACCCGCCCGCCCCGCAGCGCACCAGCAGGTTCAGCGAGGCCTACACCGCCGACAAGGCGCCCGGCGTGGTCCAGGTGCCCCACGGCAGGCGCGCTGGGGGGAGGCTGAGCCGGTGTCCGCCCGCTTGCCGCCCAGGCAGTGTGGACCGCAGTGGTGCAGAGCAGAGGACTGGCTTTGGAAGCAGTGTGGGGTAGTGGGTAGTGCACTTCGGAGGCAGTGTGGATTAGTGGTTAGTGCGCTTCGGAGGGACTGTAAACTAGTAGTTAATACAGTCGGGAGGCCTGCAGCTGCACCCTCAGAGCCAGCAGAGAGGCCTACTCTCTAGAGGATGTGGTCCGTAATTTGGTTTAGCATATTGCGAGTTCTGTGGAACTAACCTTGGAGCACAGACTTGGCGGGAACTCAGCAAAACGGAAGGACCCGTCACTGAGCACATCTGCACCTAGGATTCGGGGTTATTGGGCAGGACTCAGCCAGGGATAACTGCGTCAGGAGTGGGACGGGGGATACTATGGTCGGGGAGGTGCAGGAAGCCGGTGGCCCAGAGGCGGGGCCTGTCCCTGGTACTCCAGAAAGTCGCCATTTAGCGTGAAAAGGAAGCTGAAGGGAGCCCCGTAAGGGCTTTTGGGCAGCATCTGTAGGCTGTCCGCGTGCACAGGGAAGTCCTCTTTCCCACTACCTGAATTCTCATGTAAAAAATCCCCTTGAAATGGGTGCCATAGACCTTTGATTTGTTTTTAAATTTTATTTATTTGTACAGTAGTGAGGGTTGAACACAGAGTCTTCACACTTGAACCTGCACAGGTCTGTGATACCTCCTGACTCAGCCTCCCAGAGTTCTGGGATTGCAGGCATGTTCTGCATCACCCATCTCATATCCCCATTCTCCATATAAGGAAGTTGAGGTTCGGAGATGATGGACTTGCCTGGGAGGCCCATCTGTTTCGGGGTGGGCCTGTGTTGAGAAGGGGCTGTATTGGAGCATGGTTTGTAGAAGCTCAGGGAGGCTGGGGCATCACCGGGGCCCCACCTGAAGGCTGACCACTCCCTTTCAGTTCTGCGAGATCCTGTCAGCCCCGGAGGTGAGCCGTTGGGCAGGGCCCATCATCGACGTGCTTCTGGACTACGTGGGCAACGTGCAACTCTGCTCACGGCTCAAGGAACACATCGACAGCTTCGAGGAGTGGGCAGTGATCAAAGAGAAGGCAGGTAGGGCCACTGCTGCCGTTCGCAGACACACACTTTGCAGCAGGACCTAAGCCTCTGAAATGTCCTGCAACGAACCTGCAATGCCAGACCTGTGCTGTGCTGTCACGGGCAGAATGTCAGGCCTCCTTAGGCGACCCAGAAGCTAGGCAGTGGCAGAGCTGGATTCCACCCCGAGTCTGACCCCGTCTATCAAAGCAGCCCTGTCTCCGTGAGAGGTGCCGTGGCACCTGTTGCCCACATTTGTGGCCGCAGGGAGACAGTGTGGCAGGTGCAGAGGATGGTGCCACAGGGAGAGGGCACATTTGCATCCACCTGGGCCTCTTGCCCAATGGGGCAGGCTTGAGAGTTGGTGTCCTGCCTGCTGCCCAGTAGGGTAACCCTGCTGTCCTGCAGGCCGCCCTGGAGCCACTCTGGTCTGCAGACCCTGCTCGCTGAAAAGGGGCTCAGGCAAGCCCAGCATCCAGCCCTGTCCAGATGTGGCAGGTTCAGGTGTGTGAATGGAGCTGCCAAGTTCCTGTCTTCAGATGAGACTGTGCCACATCACTCTCCATGGCCCAACTCCCACTCTCCAGATATCCCTTGATTCCCACTCCCTTTGAACCCGAAACTACTATTGGGCTTTTCATTGGCTCGGCTGTCTGGCAAAGCAACTGAGCTGACAGCTTCGATAAACTTAGCAAGACAGTGACTGGGAAGGGAGGCGCTGACCGCCCGCTGGGGCACAGCTCCCATCTGAGAAAGTTCTTTGGTTATTGAGTAACTAACTAGCTGCGGGCACCACCATCTTTGGCCACTAGAGGGTGGAGCAGTCCACACCTAGACATAGGCACCTGGGGTCCTGTCCCTCCTGCCTCCCTGGGGAACACCTGCAGAGGGGATAGTGTTCTGGAAACACACGCGAATAGGGGAAGCAGGTGGTTCTGAACCAGTGCGGATCTCAGTGACTGAAGCCCCTTCTGCCAGTGAAACTCCCCCTGCTTTGCATTTGATGCTTGCATGTTGAGGTGATTTCTCCAGGGAGAAGGCCGACCCAGACTCCCGGAGGTGGCAGGCAGTGCCCGTCAGCCCAGCCCTCAGGGCTCCAGGTCCTGGGCCCCTCGTGGTCTTTTGCTTCCCTCCCCATAGCAAAGGTGCTGTCTTCCCAGAGGGGACTCTGTCCCAAGTGACATCAGAGGGCAGTGGAAGCATTGGAAACCCCGTGAAGAGGCACGGCCACTTGGCTGGCCAGTGCTTAGCCACAGGCCTCTCCACACCGCTGGTTGCCCAGTTCCCCCAAGGCTGCAGTGGCCCCAGGTTCGGCACATGCTGTCTTTCCTCCTTAGGAGGCCCTTGCCTCCCTTCCTCAACTGGCAGATTCCTGCCTGCCCCTCGGAACCTGGTACGGAAGGCACTATGTGGAACTTTCCCTGCTGTGCAGGAACCCCTGCACCAATGACCCCTACACAGGACCGAGCAGGCTAAGAAGCCCAACATGTGCTTGTTGAATGAATGAATGAATGAATGAATGAATGAGTGAATGAATCTTTGACCCAACAAACATCCTCCCTGTGCCCAGACAGATTACCCATTACTTGGTGCATCGGTCCCTGCTCCCACCTCTCCCACGCCTACCTTCCAGCTGAGGAAGCCTGCACTGCACAAGGCCTTTAGGGGCCGGACGAGTTGCAGCTGGGTGGGACTTGCAGGTCCTGCTCCTTTCCCCTGGCCTCTTAGCACCAGCAGGAGCCCAAACTAGAAATTCCATGTATGGAACTCCCAACTCCTATACTGGTGCTGTTTGGTGGCCCAGGCTTTTGTAAAGAGGAAGCTGCACAAGATGGGTTTGGTGTTCCCTCGTCCCGGAACATCCAGCCAACCAGCCTTCACTCCCCTTGGTTCTCATGCCTGCCAAGTGGGCTTGGCACCCACCCCGTCTCTTCCTGGGGTGGTACAGATGGATGATGTGACCGTGGGAATCTCCCTTCCAATCTCTCCAGCTGCAGGAGCTGGGTTTACCATGGAGGCACCCCTCTTACCCAGCCACACGCACTTTTGTTGGGCGCAAATGACAAGCAGCCTCTCTTTGTCACTCATTTTTCCAGAACCTCCAAGACCTCTGGCTCACCTGTGCCGGCTGCGGGTTCGAAAGGCCATTGGGAAATTTCGTCTAAAACTCTTGGACACGTTGCCTCTCCCCGGCAGGCTGATTAGATACCTAAAATACGAGAACATGCAGTAGCAGGCAACAGGAGGAAGGAGTGGCCCCTCTGAGGATGGCAGCATCCCCTGTCCCAGGACCCTGGGGACAGAACGAGGCTGCAGGCCACCTCCCTCTCAGCTGGGACAGCAGCTGAGATGGTGCCCGGTCTGCGCTCTGCTCAGGGTGGAGAGCACAATGTCCGGTAGGAGAGGAATCCTGTGTCTTCAAACCACCGAGCTGATCTCCGACTGAATGGCAGAGACCTCTGTAGGATCTGGAAAAGCAGTGGCCACGGAGGTGCCCAGCTTCCTCTTCTAGGAATGAGTTTGCCTTTCTGGGAGGACCTCGCTTCAGAGCATTCCCTGCACCCCTCCCTGACTCTGTGAGACTCTCCACCTGACCTCAGCCAGGGAGGGACCTCCATGCCCGGGGTCCTCTGTGTACAATAAATGATGCACACGTGAGGCCCTGCTCCAAGTCCTTCTCGTCAGACTTCTCCTAGGCCTGGGATCCTCAGCTCTGCTCCTGGCAGACAGGTGACAAGGCTGAGCAGGTGGGGACAGGGCATGTAGCCCCCTGAATCTGGTGTCTATGGGTGGGTGCATGAGGCAGCTTTCTGCTGCTGGGACAAAATACGTGAGATAAATATCTTAAAGCAAGAAAGATTCATTTGGATTCAAGTTTCAAAGATTTCTGTCCTCAGCCCCATTACTTTGGGTCTGTGATGGGCAGTGGATGGCTAGGCAAAGCTGCCTGCTTCATGGTGGCCGGAAACCAAAGAGGAACGAGACAGAGACAGTAACAGGAGCAGAGGTCCTAATTCACCTCATAGGATGCTTCTGACAACCTACTGTTAACCAGGTCTCACCTTCTAAAGTTTCTGTCACCCTCCAACAGCACCATAGCTGGGTACCAAGCCTTCAGTACATTTTGGGGGACATTTAAGATCCAAACCATAGCATTCTCAAATGACGTTTCCTTGACCAGGAGATGCCTGACTACCTGGTTGCTTTTCTTTCCTGGTTAAATCACCATGGAAACAAGTGCTTCATGACAAGGAAGGTGTCTGTGCCCACAAGTCTCCTGACACCTGGAGTTGTCTTACGCGCTAGTATCCTGACACTCCAGCTCACCCCCATTTTGCTGCAAAATTTAAATATTGTTAGGGGGAAAAGTCAACCCTGGCTGTTGTGAGAAACGGTGCTGGAGGGAGGTCCGTGGTCAACAGTTGCAAAGGTTGGAAGTCCTGACCTGTGGCAGCCTGTGGGATGAGCCAGGCAGGCTGTGTGTCTCATTTCCCGGTGGGGTGGTGAGAGGTGAGCTTCACCACTGTCACAGCATTTTCTTGTAGTCCCCGGGTCCTCGGGCTGAGCCCTAGCACACCTTGTTTTCATGAGAGTTGCAGTAATTTATCGACATTCGATTTGCATGTGTAGTTAAAGCCACACCAGACCAGGCCACCTTGCCAAGATCCTGCCCCTGGGTCAGTCCCGGCTTCCTGAAGGGTCTTCAGCAAGTTAAAGGAAGTTTCTGGTCTTTGGAAGAAAAGCAGGTGGGCCAGTGGGGGAGCGCTGGCTTCTGGTCAGTGTGCATTTGGGTTCTTTGGTGTTGATGACATACATCTCCCACTGGGTTATAGCATGGGGCAGCCACCTCCCTGTGTCCTGCCCATGCCTCTTGGATCCTGTCCAGCTTCTCCATGAGGCCATAGCTAAGCCTGGCCCCATGGCCTGCTCCTGAGGGTTAGTCCTGGGAGTCAATGAAAGTGCTGCCCTATGATCCACACTGAAGCAGACTGACAGCCATCCCTCTACAGAGACTGCCACCTGCCACTGCCCAATGACCCAGTCCCCTGAGGGTCTCCAGCCTCAAAGGGTCACACAGCATGCCCTTGCCACCCAGGAAGGCTGGCAATGATTCCTTTTCGTGCAAGCCTGGCCTGGGTTGGGAACTGGAGACTGAGCAGGTGGGAGTCCCCAGCTATCCTTGGTCTTTACTTTGGACCATCCCAGCACACATTTTGGTGAACTGTGTATCTGCTGCTAGCACTCAGCTGCTTTCTGCTTGTCTCTTCGTTTTTAATATCAAAGCCTTCTGAAGTGTGTGAGGGTGTTTTTAAGATGGTTTCCACACTGGGGACCCAGTGCCTTGGGCTTCCATTGAGTGCAGCCTTAGTGAGGTTTCTGCTTTGAAGAGAAGCTTCCTAAGTTTGGAAGGAGACTGCAGCTGTCTCTTGGGGAAGCTGAGCTCCAGCAGGGATGAGCTGGTGTCAGAAACCTACAGGACTGGGTTCAGGCAGCCCCCAGGGAAGATACACCTACTGAGGTGGAGTTGTTCAAGGAGTGTGGGTGTTTGGATGGTCCAGGAGCACCATGCTTATAAATGTGCTCTTTTATAAGCATTTAAACTGTCAGCCTGACAGGGCCCATGGGCACCACCACATAACCAGGGTGGGGGGGACTTCTGGCTGTTGCCAGTTGGGAGCAAGTGTGTGGCACAGGGTAGCAGGCTTGCATACCTACCTCAGCAACTCCTGATTCAGGTCTGCGACTGGCCATATTTTATGGATAAGGAAATTTTGGCCCAGATAGGTTAAATAATTTGCTCAAGATCATACAGTTGGTAGGATGGCATGGCCAGCACGCAGGCTTGCTGTGCAGCTTGGAGGTTAAAACGCTGGTTTTGGGGGGCATACATGAGTCATGGGGGGCCAAGGGAAGTACACACGTATTCCAGCCCCTTATTACCCTGCAAGGCCAAGAGGTCCAGGATTGGGGGTGCTGGCTGAAGATCTTGCCCCTCCTATGTGCAGATGGTTACTCAGAACAGCTCTGATTGTGTCACATCAGATACTGTGGCTCCGAAGTCTTCTGAGGCCTTGGGACTTAAGTCACCAGAAGCCTACCTGCTTTCCCATGAGCGAGCTGCTGTTCCAGGGGATTCCCCACTCCAGGGGCATCTTGGGAGAAAACTGGACAGGGAAAAGGGACCCCAGGCAGCTAGATGCTCATTTTTGACCTTATGTTGGCAGGAATGATCCAAAGGAGAGATCCTGGGTGCAGAGGAGGTCAGCGCACCAGATCTCTGCCCTGTACAAATGAGGTGACTGAGCCCAGAGCGAGAACTAGCTCATCCAGCATCCTGAAGCTGGCCAAGGCACATGGTCTCCAGCCAGGCTGGCCCCTGCACCAGGTCGAGGTGTGAGGGTGGTTCTGATCAGCTCTGCACCCCAAGGGCCCAGCCCCTGTCTGCAGAGCAACCTGGGACAGCAAGCAGCAGAGGTCCCCAGGGTGGCTTTGCCAGTCTGGCACTCTCAGGGAAGAGCGCAGGGCTGCTTCCTGCCTCTGCCGTCCCCCACTCCGGGCACTGTCCCAGTCAGAAGCCTCATCATCGCATCCACTCGTGCTGGAATGTCCCCAGGCCCGGGAGCCAGCAGCATGAAACCAGGGATCTGACCTAACTGGGGATTTCTGTATTTTGCTTTCTGAGGGTGTTTGTTGATTTGTTTATCTGTGGACATAGATCCAAAGACTGTGCTTAACAGAGGGATGGTTTGGCCAGGTGTGAAGATACACACCTGTGACCCTAGCACTCTGGCAGGAAGATCAAAAGTTCAAGCTCAGCCAGGGCAATTTAATGACTTGGAATTTTCCTGAAAATAAAACATTTTAGAAAGGGATATGGATGTAGCTCAGCGCAAAGACCCTAGGTCCAATCTTCAGAGTCACAAAAAATATACATCACACAAAACACCAAAACCACCTGTTTCATCCCCAAGGGACTGAATGCCTGGTGGGCCCAATTTTCCCTCTGACTGGGCCTGGGCAGGGCCTCTTTGCTGTGAGGTGCACACAGCAGAATCGGACCCACAGCTCTGCCTTCCCTGGATCCAGAGTAGCTCGGGCCCTCCAGCACCCAGGCCTGCGTGGCCTCTGTCTTTGGACATATGGGTCAGAAAGTCCTTCCCTGCCCACCCGCCTTCCTTTGAATGCCGTCTGGCTAAGGATGTCACCCAGGCTTCAGGATACTCTTGGCCTCCCCATTAAGCAGCCTTCAGCTTGGGCACAGCCAGGATTCATGGGCCTGGGGACCATTTCACCGCATGACACCCAAGATGTGGAAACTGCAAAAAGAAATATCTTTATTCTATTAACTTTCTTAATATTTACAAAGAACAAAAAAGAACAACAACTGAAATTGGCTTAAACAGTGGGTGTGTAAGTGGCATTTGGGTGGCTGGTGGGCTGGGCCAGGTGCCAATGCCCGTGGTCTGCACAGGAACAGGGAAGGATCTGCTGGGCTCCAGCTGGGCTGAGGAGAAGGCACTGAGCCTGGCCCCAAGGCTGCAGGGCTTGAGCTGATGACTGCCTGAAAAGCCCCTGCCCCAAGACTGCCCTCAGAACATGCAAAGGGAAGGATGGGGCGTTGGGAATGCCCAGACCATGCCTCTGCCCAGTCTCCTCCTCCCAAAGACAGCTCCTTGGGCCCCCATGACTGCAGGCTGGAGGAGGTGACCCAGGCCCTGGCAGCCTAGCTAGAGGTAGCCGAAAACGTTGAAAAGGGGTGGGGGCACAGCCGGCTTGGTGGGGATGGGCTTCAGAACCACAGGTCTGTACACCTTCTGCCCTGGGCCATCCACATGCTTGCAGAAGTGGGCCAGCTCTGTGGGCAAAGCTGGACTTTTACTCCACAGGCCCAGGCCAGGGATGGGGCTTGCAGGCAGGGCCCCTGGAGGGCCAGGGTAGATGGGCTGTCCATGGTACTGGAAGGGGCAGTAGTTCCAAGCATCAACACGGCCCACCAAGGAGACCCCAGGCATCTTGAGTGGCTCCTTGTCAGCCAGTGCTCTTGGGGACAGGGGCCCTGGGGCAGCCTCAGGCACCACAGACTCTAAGCCCTTGCAATTTTTCTTACACTCATAGAGAAGTCCCTCCCTGGGGTCTGGTCCACCCTCCAGTCCCATGGGGTAGCTGTGGGTGGGCCTCGGCTCTTCCCAGAAGGAAGCAGGCAGCTGTCTTTTCCGCATGGGCACCTGGCCAAGGTTGGCAGCTCCTGGGCCCTGGCCCTGGAGGGTCTGCTCCTTGGAAAGATATTCCTCCCCAAAGGGACTCCCCAGAGCCTTCTCCTTGCAGCCCCCAATCCCACCAGGGCTGGAATCAGGGCCACAAGGGATTGAGGGATGGAGGGGCAACTGCTCGGGGTGGTCTTCGGGCCCCCTTCTCAGGTGAGGCTCGGCAGCCCTGCCAGGAAGCCCCCGGGGGAGCCGGGAGTACTTCTGCGAGAAGCGTTTGAGCTGCTTCTGCAGGTACTTGCGGTGGTCCACAGAGCGGCGGCAGGGTGCAGACTTGTCCAGCGCCGCCTTGATGTCACTGGATGCCAGGTTCACAAAATTCAGCAGCATCTTCACGTCACTGTCGGATGCCATCACCAGGGGGGCCACTGCATGGGGCTTTCCATGAAGAGGGTGGGCTCTGCAGGGTGAGGGGGGTGCAGGGGCTGATCTGGGGACAAGAGAGGCTGTTGGAGTCTCTTCAAGCAGCCACACTCTGCCAAACGGGATGCAGCCAATGCCCCCCACCCAGCACCCCTCAGCCCAGAATGGAGCCCTGGGTGATGGGACACCCCCTCTAGGCAGAAGGTTCCCTGAGCACCTATGATGCCGCCAGAGCCAACAACCTCCTGGAGCCTTCTGGGGTGCTGCCCACTTCTTGTCACTGATGCTTAGAGAGGTCACGCAAGTTGTCCCAAGGCGGCCCAGCTACAAGTGGCATCCCTGGGCCGCACTCCCAGCCTGCCGCCTCTCCTCTCCCATGCCAGCTGTGCTCACTTCTGCCACGGTGCACAACTTGCCAGCCAGGTTTTTTTCCCTTTCTGAGCCCAGACAACTGCTCCACTTTGCAGAAGGCCAAGCCCCTTTTCTGCCTGGTGGTGGCCTCCCCCTCGGCAGCCCACCCCCTTCTTCAGTCCCACGCTCCACCCCCAACTCTCACGCAGGACCAGGCAGGAGGACCCTGTCTAGCACTTAATCGAGACCTGCCTCGAGGCTGTTTTCAGGCTGCAGACAGCAGGGACTCCCTGGTAGAAGCATCTGCGGCAATTTCATGCCTCCTGGGCCACCACCCACAGCACTGCGCTCCTCCTCCAGGCCCCAGCCTGCCCCTCGCCCCCCACCCAGGCAGCCCACAGCAGGGCCTCCACACTGACCGGAGGTGCTGGCCGGGCCCACCGCCGCCAGACGTGGCCAGCAGGTTCCCCACTGCAGACCTGGGCAGGCCCGACCGATCTCCGTGCTGCCCGCTGAGGGAGCGGCAGTGCAAGCCCTTGAGTGGGCTGAATGGAGGACAACTCCCAGGGCTGGGGGGCCCTTAGGCCAATCAGGAGCGCCTCTCCAGATACAAAGCATCCCAATCAGGCGGCGGCGCCCCGTTCCCACATTCTTTGCCGTCACAAATTGTCACCATGGGGACCATCACAAAAAAGACAGCTCCCAAATGCAATCATTTCCCGGTAAATTTCTACCCCTCAGCCCCACTCTCTTAGGCCTCCATGCCCCTCCTCCCCTTGACCTCGGTTCCCTGGTTTCTCAAGGAGGTAGTGTGTGTGTGTGAGTGTGAGTGTGTGCATGTGCATGCATTCAGGAGTGTGTGCAGGAGCGAAATGTTCAGGACTGAGGAGGAGCTGGGCTGGTGGAAATGGGCTTGCAAACCTTCCTGAAACACTCCTGGCCTACAGCTGCCATGCTCCAGTGCAGACAGACAATCAGACGGGTAAGCTGGGCGGGCTGATTTCCCTGCTGTCCTTGAGCATTGAGTGGCTCTCTCGGTTTCTTGTCTCTGGCTCTGGCTTTGTCCCTCTTTCTCCTGACCACCTCTCTTTCTCCAGGACCCCTCAGGGATGGGCGCTGGACGGCCTGTGCGGTCAGGGAGGTGCACTGTTGTGGCGAAAGGTAGCCGGGAAGGACTCTAACAGGGCGCTGGCATATCCATGGGAAGGGAGCCGGAGCTCTCAGGAATCTTGTCTTTATGTTTGCTTCCTCAATTGAGCTGCACAAAGCCTGAATTGCCCATTCAGTGCGGCTGGACAAAAGGTTGGCGTTGCACGGCCCCTTGCATTTGTAATCAAACAGTTAGAGACTTAAATCGAGTCGTCATGATGGAGAAAGAGGTGGACAAAGCCCATAGAATTGCCATCAGCAAACATTTTCCTGTGTCATATTAGCCAGTCTCCATGGCTCCCCCTGGCCTGGGGACAATGGCACAAGTTTGCACACTTGGCTACTGTCACCGTGCCAACGCCGGCGTGGCTGCAAGCAGGGCCACTCGCTCAGAGCAAGCAAGAGAGCCCAGAGCCAGCGCTGGCCCTGCCCACCACTAGCTAGAGGGAAGGTGAGGCCAGCGACGGTGAGGGAGGTGCCTGGGAAACGCTGATGGGTGTGGCCTCAGTACCAGCAGCGAGGCAGGCCTTCTCCTGTCCCTCCTTTCTTCTGCTGCCTGCTCCTGTGCCTCTCCATCAGCCAAGGGGCTGGTATTCTAACTGTCCCCCTCCCCCAAATGGCATGACCTAAACAACCAGGGCTCCTCCGCGGTCCCCTCCCCAGACACAGGAGCACTGGCAAAAGATGTCCCACCCCCACTGGCCATGGCACTGCTGCTGTCGGGACGAGACCCACAGTGGCCAGACTCCAAGCGACTTCCCATCTGGCCTATGGTTCCCTCTTTTGGAGAAGATGGCCCAGGGTCGAGGAGCAGACCCCATCCCTGCCACCACGGGTATGGGCATGTACCAGCCAGGACTGGAGTATCCAGGGTCAATAGCTGACACATGCCCTGGAGAGTCACCCTCACTGCAGGCGAGGTTGAGAGCTGAGCCCCAGAGATCAGGAGGTGATGTTTCTAGGGCATAGCTCAGCCTAACCTGTCTGGGACAGGCGGGCAACATGCTTGGTCTGCTCCAAGCCACCCAGCATGCGCTGCTAGAGAGATCATTGTCCTGATGCCCTCTGGTCACCAGATTAGGCTTCCCTCGCAGCTCCCTGCTGACCAAGGCACAGGACCAGTGTGCACAGCCCAGGGTTCACACACCCTGGAACCCAGCACTTCTCAGCTGCCTGTTCCATCGAGCACTGTTGGAGGCTGATTTCAGGAGGCCTCACTGATCCTGCCCCAGCCTTCTGAACCCTGCCTGGGCCATGTGGGCCCCTCTCTCTGGACCCCTTTCTCCAGCCACATTGTCAGACCTATTTGATGCCAAACCTTGAACTTACAGTCCACTCAGCCCACTGGCCCTGCCTTCCTGGGGGGCCACCTCCTTATTTCTCAGCTAACGACAATCCTTACCCTGGTCAGGGGGCCTCCTGGGAGTCAAGCTTGGCCTTCGGAAGTCCTTCCGTAGCTCTAAAGGCACACTGCTCTTCCTCCAAATGCTTTTCAAGGAAAGGAAGAAAAAAGAGGAAAAAGAGAGGAATGGAACTGTTGGGCACCTGCTCTGTGCCACGTCTCATCCGACCTAGCACAGACACCTTTGCCAAGGCCTCACAGCTAATGACTGGCAGAACTTGAACTTGAAGCCAGATCTGTATGCAAAGTTTACCACATGCATGACTTCCCCAAGGTCCTCCTGGGGGCCAGGTGCTGCCCAAGTTCTCGGCTCTGAAGGCTTCAGGGGTCGGATTTTCCATCCAAGTCCTGGGTTCAGCTCTTCCACACGGAGAGCAGCAGTGACCCTCAGCTATTGGCTCAGGGCTCTGGAGCCTGGATTTGGAGCCATCAGGAGAGCGGCGGCTGGAGGAACAGTGGTCTGAGGACCTGGCCCGGGGGCCTTCACAGACCGGCTCCCCTGGAATTTCTGACAGGCCGCACAGACGGACAGGCGGAAGGACAGTGGGCGGAGCAGCCTGCTCAGGATGGCTTTTCTCTTTCTCGGCCCTTCTCACTCCAGTCCTGGGTCTGGACAGAGAGGAAGTCACTTTCCCTACTTCCTGTTGGTGATACACCCAAAGACAAGTGTCAGACCTCTTGACTTTGGGTACAACAGCCAACACTGTGCCTTCGGGCTTCATCATGACCCAGCACAAAATTCTCCTCCAGGAAGCCTCCTGTCAACCCCCAGCAATCTATTGACACCCTCTCCCATCCCCGGGTTCATGGCCTAGAGGATGAAGTGCGATCTCCTTAACAAGCACAGAAGGCCCTTTGTAGTCTGACCCCTACCAGTGCCTGGCACAGAGCAACTTCTCAGGGTTCCGTGCATTACATCGCTCACCCCTTCTGCTGAATCGCATTTATCCAGTGAACTGAAAACAGCTTCTCCCTGTACTGTTCCTTTATTGTTTTCCCAGGTCCACACGGATAAGCTCCAGGAGATCGGGGAGATGGGCCACCGGCTGGTCTGTGACTCCAGGGACTTGCATGTCCTAGCACTGAGCAGGGCCAGTGAGAGGTGCTCAGGGACAGATTCTACACTTCCTCAGGGCTGTGGCTCTTTGGAAAGCTAGGAAGCCATCTCCCGATAGCACCCTGCCTTGGTCCTAGAGAGCTCTGCCAAAGCCGGTCAGCTGAGCTGACTCAAGACAAAGAACTCAGGGAGAAAAGTGGGCAACCTCTCCTTCCCTGACCAGGGTCACGGCAGAGCATCCCTGACCTCTAGCACGGTGCTCCTCTGACACCAGACCATGGTAGTCAGAGATTTTACTCCACCCAAGGACCAGGACAGAAGGCATATGAAGTCACTCGCCTTTCCTGGGTGCCATGCTTATGCTGTTAATAAAGCCTGGAACAGAGGAGCTGCCCTGCTGGGAAACTTGCCTGTGGTCCCACAGTTCAGAGATGACAGAGCCAGAATCAGATACTTGCAGAGAGATCTGAGCCCTCAGTCCTGACCATTGTGGGCTGCTTCTCTCTGACAACTGTCAAGCAATGCCCCGCCCCGCCTGCCTCCCCAGGCTGTGCCTCTCCAGTGCCTCAGGCACACTCCTGCCATCATGGCCAGCCCAACACAGGGAGGCTGTGCAGGTTGCATGGGGACACAGTGACCCGGCAGTGCCTCTAGGGACATGGGACACAGACATGACAAGATGACTTTATGTAACCCACTTACACAGTGGCAGTTCCGGTCCAAGCCCAGCCTGCAGCATGCTGTCAGCCACAATCAGAGCAGACGCTGTGATGGGAGAAAGAGCCCCTCTGGCCACTGCCAGCTGAGGCTTACCGTCCTCACGGCTGTGCCCATGAACCGCCTGAGACCTCATGAGGCCCCGCACAAGTCACAGCCTGGTGCAAACTACACCTGTGGTTGCAGCCCGATGATAGGGATAGAAGCAACTGTTTGCATGAAAGGGATTTCAGCTGTAGCAGTATAACACTAACCAAAACAGGCTTGGTGAAAAAAAGCATTCACCTAAGCCCCTGCATTGGCTGTGTGATCATGGGCCAGTCACCCACCCTCTCTGGGCCTCAGCTTTCAGCTGGATGCCATTAGCAGATGTAACCTCCTGGTTACACTGCAGATTTATGCAGGACGGTGTCTAACTTATAAAGGTCCTGAACTTGGGAATGACTTGATTTCTCCTAATATAACTTAGGGCAGAGTCAACATCACACAATCAGGTAACACTGTTTGCAGTCCCTGCGTATGATAACAGGGGCCAGAGCTGTGGTGGCCTCTGGGGCAGAGGACAGCCCAAAAACCCTCATTCCTGCTGTCCATCTTGGGAGGGGTGGGCTACGGGGATTCCCTGAGGAAGAAGAGTGCCGTGGACGGAGTTCCTAGCCTTCTCTTCAGTCTCAGAAGATGCGGGGACCCCTCACCCGCGAGATGTGAGCTGCGGGTTTTATATACTCCTCGTCATGTTGAGAGTGCTCCTCTCTGTCCCTAATTTGCTACAAGTTTCTGATATGGATGGAGGCCGAATGCCTCTGGATGACCGTTCTGCACCAGCTGACAGGATTGCATGGTTTTCTTGCTTCGTCTGTTGAAATTTCATGAGCCCAGATATATGTAATACCGTGCGGTTTTCCCTTTAGCCACCGCAGGCACACAGTTCAGCAGCAGAAAGAGCATTCACACTGCTGTGCAGTCAACGTCCTTCTCCAAAACTTGCTTACATCGCTCAGTGAAACGCTGTCCCCAGCAGACAATGACCCCTCTCTTTCCCTTTACCCTCTGGCCCATTTTGATCATCATTCTGCTGTCTGTCCACTCCAGCTGGCTCATAGAAGTGGGACACACAATATTTGGCCTTTTATGTCTGGCTTCTTTCACTTAGCACCGTTATCTTCATGCTGGGGCATGTGACAGAAATTCCTGTGCAAGGCTGAATGACATTCTACGGTCTGTGCACCTCGCGCTGTGTCCATCTGTGTGTTGATGGTCACTGGTGCTGCTTTTGTCCTGTAACCCTGATGGTATAGTGGACCCAAGGATTGTTTTCCAAACACTGAGCCAACCTTTCCTTTATTAAACCCACTTGGTGTGCAGTGCAATTCTTTTTATAGATTGCTGAATTCAATTTGCTAATATCTCGTTGTATTTTGTCTCCCTGTGTTCATGAGAGGGGCTGGCTCATAGCTTTCATTTGTGTTATTCTTGTCTCGCTCCAGAACCAGAGTCCCACTGGCCTGATGAGATGCATTGGAAAGTTCACCTTTCTCTTCTTCACTTACAAATTCAATTTTTAAAAACCAGTGGATGTTCAGGTTGTGTGTTGCATTTTAAATGAACATGTAGCCTTCAAGGAACTGATCTGTTTTTCTGAAGTTGTTGACTTTACGTTCATGGAGTTGTTCCTGGCATTCCCTTGCTTTTGTGATGTCTGCCAGATCTGCAGTGATGTCAACATTTCATTTCTGATTGGGTAGTCTGTATTTCCTCTTTTTAAAATCAGTCTTCCCAGGAAGCTATTGATACTTCATTGATTACTTCAGAGAACCAGATCTTTTCCCACCGATGTCTTAAAATCACTTCTCTATTTTTTGTTTCATTGATTTCTGCTTTTATCTTTGTTATTTCCTTATTTCTTTACTTTTGCTTATGTTTTGGCTTCTTGATGTGGGAGCTTTAGTTATTGAGAGTTTTCTTGTTTTTCTAGCATAGGAGTTTTAGGGCTATGAAGTTTCCCCTCAGCACTGTGCTCACTGCATCTCAAAAATGGTGCCATATGGTGCTCCTGTTTTCTCCCCAGAGGTGTCCTCTTGGGCATGTGGGTTATTTAGCAGGGTGTGGCCTTAATTTCTAGGAGTTTGGGCTTTTCAGGCTATCTTCCTGCTATTTGTTATCTAGCTTGATTGCATGATGGTCAGGGAATTTATAGGTTTTTTAGGATTGTGGAGGATCACTTATTTATTTCTTGTACCCAGAGTGTGGTCTGTTCTGGCCAACGCTCTTTGGGCACTTGACTTTCTTCTTGGCGTGAGCATTCCTTAGGGGTCAGTTACAGCTCATTGGTTCATGGTGCATAATAAGAAAATGGGTTGAGTGGAGACCCCCAGAAAGGCTGGGGAGCGGGCAGAGCCCTGGGTGTGGGCACAGCTGGGGCAGGAAATGGCCGTCCCTTCCTATCCTAGACTGTGCAGGTCACTTAAGTCTCTCCCTCTGTGAAATGGGGATGAGAAAAGCCATGTGGCCTTTGCGAGGGGTTGGTAATGGTTTGGTTGTGTTCCAAAGCATGTAACGAGCACTCTGTATATGCAGGACATACTTTGAGGGGCTGGGAATAGCGAGGTAAAGCAGACACCTGAGCTAGCACCTACTAAATAGTCTATCAGCCTCTTACCAAACCCCGGATGGCATTCCCCAAACTCGGTCTGCACCCGTCCTTCGCAATGAGGTGGGTATTTCTCTGAGCCCTGCTCTTACACGCAAGGACACTGAGGCACAGACTAAACAAATTGCCTAAGGAGTGAAGCTGACATCCATCCCGAGGCGACCGTGACTGTTCTGTGATTTGTCCCCACAGCCAGGGAGCTCTGGGTCTGATCCCTCACCCGGCATGTGCGTCACTGGCAGGGTTGATGTGGGACTGAGAGACCAGTGGTGCCTCCTCTTCACACGCCTTTCTCACCTTCACATCCCTGCTGGCTGGATCTAGGGCTGCCCAGGGACACCGCACTGCGTCTGTCTCCTCCCTGTGAAGAAGGCTTGTGTGACGGAAATGACATGGCAGTTATGTCTTTGTGCCCCCCACTCTGTGTCCCAAGGGAACGGTGGCCCCACATTCCTGCCACTGCCTGGCACCTCTCCCCCACCCGCCACATGCCTGTCACCTGACTGCACACTCCAGGGCCGCTCTGATGAGTCTCTTAACTCTACCACGGTGCTGGCCACGGACGAAAGTCCGTTTACTCTCAACTGCCAACTCAGCTTTGATTGGCAGCCGCCTGCTGGCCCCATTCCAAGCCCCTCCCCTTTGCTCGGGGTGTGAAGGCTCTGATCGGCTAGCGATGTCTACCTCCGGGTGGACGCAGATAGGTACTCAGTGTCCTGAATCCAGTGTGGAATCTCGGATGCCCAGGTGGTGTTCTCATAACCCTACCCCTGAGCTTGTACCCAGAGAAGGGAAGTGACTTTTCCAGGTTCGTATCCCTGAATGTGGCTCTGAGCAAAGCCCTGGGTTCAATCCCCAGTTTAAAAATAAAGTGTGAAAGGGACATGTTCTGTAAGATGACTCTGGTCACCCTGCTGGGCTCACTGGGATCACTATGACAATGATGGGTCCCAAGAATGGCCTAGGTCTGATCAGAATAGAAGACTGCCTGAGGGGTGGGGGACAGAAGGAGCCCCAGATAGTTTGCTCAAGGGTGTGGCCACAGCCAGTCCTAAGTGCAAAGTCACGTGTCCTTCAGGGGGCTGGAGGTGACCTTCTAATCAAATGAGAGGTAGCTGTCGTAGACGGGACCCAGTCCGTTCTGTGGGTCTCTTCTCAGCAGGCTGAGGGTGGGTGGGGACTGCCTTGGCTGGGCTGGGATAGAGTAGAAGGGCCCTAGGGTGCAATGTAGGAAAGGAATCAGGGGAGGAAACCCCAGATTGGGACTGGGGAGTGCAGGCCACACCCAGCGCTACAGAGCCAAGAAAATTCCCTGAGCCGGAAGTGTGACTGCAGGTATGAACTGAGCATGATTCCAGGGAAGCCTCTATGTGGGTCTCGGGCCACATCCTCCCAGTCAGGACCCCCTGCATCTGCCTGAGCAGGACAGAGTCAAGTAAAGACCACTTCTCTTCTCCCATTTGCCTTCTCCTCAGGTATTTCTCCAACTGTAACCCCTCACCAAACCCCCTCTCCACTCACGCCTTTCCTGTGGCTGCTACTTAAACACTAGGTACACTCTGCCCCAGGGCCTTTGTACTTCTTGTTCTCTTTTTCTGGCATTCCCCCTCCCCACCATGGTCAACAAACCACAACCTAACACCTATTTGTGTCAATAAAGTTTTGTTAGCTATAGCTACACTTGTCCATTGACTTGAATTCTTGCTCAGAACAGTACCCTGGGGCCTCACACGCCTTATGTGCTCAGTAGAGAAATTCTCAATGAATGAATGAATATTTCCCACACTCCTGGGGGTTGGCCCTGCCTACACTTCTAGCCTCTGCCTCTGTTTCTCTTGTCATAGAATTGGTCCCTAGGGGTTGGGGATTTAGCTCAGCGGTATAAGCGCCTTCCTTGCAAGCATGTGGTCCTGAGTTTGATCCCTGGTACCGGTAAAAAAAAAAGGAATTGAGTCCCTGGTAGATTTCTTGCTGAGTCTCTCCAGCAGTATCTCCATTTTATGAGGTTCTCATTTGAAAGAGATTTTTAAAAAAAAAAACTCACACCTTCTACACCAGGGCTGCAGAAGCAGGAGTGTTTTAAATGTCCGCGTTTAACAGAATAACACTTCTAACCCACCAAGCTCACTGCTGTAGCAGGGCCATTCATGAGATAACTGCAGGGCTTATTTTCAGTAGTAATTAATGAAATTCAGTTAATGTTCATTCATTAACATGTCCTAGAATATTAAGTTAATTGATTTTAAAATAAATAAAATTAATTTTACCTAAAATATTAATTAACAAAGGCCTGGAAGGCGGCAGTGGAAGTCGGTGAATCGCTCTTTTCCTTTCTTGGTTTTTTCCCCTGTCATTTCTGTCAAACGGTGGCATTTACAGAGAATGTCCAAAGTGGGGTCCAAAACAAAGAGTTCAAAACCTTTTTGTTCTATTCAGGCCGTGGACAGACTGGACAATGCCCACCACACTGAGGAGGCCATCTGCTCCCGGGGCCTCGGACGCCAGTGCAGAGCTGATCTCGGCTGGGGACGCCCCCTCCGCAGACACCCCGGACAGAGCGTTTACCCTGCTCTCCGGCCAACCCTTGGGCCAGCTGAGTCGACTCGTAAAATTAGCCCTTCCACATGCCAGCCGTCAGCCCTGCTTCACAGATGAAAACGTGAAGGCGCAGAACGGTGAAGTGACCTGCCCGGGCCCGCTCAGCTGGCTGATGGTGGACCCAGGACAGCGCCTCCTCCTGGACATTTGTTTTTGTCCTGGGCATTGAAGCAAAGGCAATTTGAGTGAGCCACATCTTCAACTTCTTTTATTTTTTTTAATTTTTAAAAGGTTTTTTTTTTTTTTTTTTTTTTTTTTTTTTTTTTTTTTTTAAATTTTGAAGGTAGTGAAATACATCAGAACAAGACAGAACAAAGCCAGGAGAGACCGTGCAATGAAACTGGTACAGAACTTCACAGCAGGTACCGGGATAGCAGTAATAGGTACCATAGTATATCTCGTTATCTTCACAATAGTTGTCCTGTCAATCAGGTACAGCAAAATCTAATGAAATATAGAAAACAGAACATGGAATAGAGCAATGCCATTAATCAGAATAAAGCAAAACAGTGATAACATTACTGCTTTCAAAGAGATGGAAAGGAAGACCCCCCCAGATAGAAGGAACCCCTCATTTGCTATATGGCATATGGTCAACCTCCCAAGAGCTGCTCAGACCTCTGGCTCCCATTTGCTAGCGGGGGGAGGGGGGAATGTGACAGTAGGCTCACGGCTGCTTACCAGAGAGGCGAGCGGGTTGCTTGGTTTCCCAGCTCCCTAAGTTCCAACATGGCATGGATCTCAGGAGACGCTGGCTGGTTCTCCCCCTCGGGTGGCTATTTTTTTTTTTAATTTTATAACAGGTTCTGGCTAAGTTGACCAGGCTGGCCTCTGATAGCATTTTTGGCACACGGTTAGAAGACAGAATATAAAGTAAAGTGGCCTTTATTTTAAGGATGTGGAGAGAAACTCCATGACCACCGGGGCCTGGCTTTCTCTGCCGGACACGTGGTGTGGGGGGCATACATACAGCTTTGGTCTGGGCTGGTGCCTAAAGGGGCATTGCTGATGTGCCAGCAGCTGATTGGAACTCATTTCGAGCCACAGGTAAATTGCCTAGGGGCCGGGAAAATGACCTCAAGGTAAGCGTCCCTTGGTCCTACCTCTCACTGCTGTATCCTTTCAGCGTCAAGCTTACAATAATTCTGACTCAGCTCCTGAGAGTGCCGGTTACACGTATGCAGCACCTCACCCTGCCCCTGCGCATGACTTTAACTCCATGCAAAATTCTTCTGTGCTTTTGGGCTGCTCAGCATACTCAGCCACCAGGACCCACCCATCTATCTCTTCCACAAGAACCAAGGGCTTTCTGCTCACAGGCACTGGAGGCCTTGCAGCTGGCCCATTTCAGGGCAGGGATTTGAACTCAGGTCCTTTGACATTCAAGCCCCAGACATGTCTGTGCCTGTGACATCTGGAAGGCAACTCATAGAGTCACATTTGGGCACGTGCGAGGGGAAACTGTGGAATCCTTGCAGGGGCCGGGGATCCTGGAGGAGTAGCCCTTCCCTGCCCCCTCCAGAGTGATGGTGACCGCAGGGGAGACCTGAGCCCCAGCAGGACTGGTCCTGGTGATGATGGCACCCCATGCCCAGAATTCTTTTGCCTAGAGCTCTAACGATGGCAGCTGTTTACTAATCCCAGTCCTTGTAGGAGCCAACCCACCTTGCAGCTACCATGCTTCCTCTAAGCCCCTGGCAATCTGGTAAGGTGGTTTCCTGCTGGGTGTCAGTGGACATCCCTCCAGAGCTATGCAAGCATTTCCGTGGGCCTTCCAGAGACGGTGCTTTCACCTCTGCTGCCTGTGGGAAACAGAAGAAAGGCTCCCTCCAGGGAAGGAGATGATGGGGCAGCCTTTGGGGGGCTGCGCATCCTGCACAAATATCCCCTGTCTTAGTCACCTCTTCCATACAAGTGGGCCAGGTTCCTCTGCCTCTAGTGGAGTGACTTTGTGGTCTTCAGAAGCTGTCAAGTGGATCTAGGCTGCCACTCGGATAGAAGATAATAAGGTAGACCGAAGCACCGGCACATGGGTTGGGGGAAACCAGCTAAGGTGACCTTTTACCTGGAAGCCTCAGAGCCATGGATCCTAGGATGCTGTGGGCAGCCACAAATTAGGAGACCCCTAAAAGTGCCCACAGGGACACTCTCAGAGGCCACTGAGGTTCTGATATAGGCAGTGCAAAGAGAAAGCAGACTCCCAGTCTTTGCAGCTATCAGCTCAGAGATCCAGACACCACCCCTGCCACAGGGGGCTCAGAACAGGCAGGACTTGGTCAGTCACTACCAGCTTCCTGATTCTGCTCCTGTGTCAGCCGGAAAGCCCATCATCTTCCAACCTGCACAGAAGATGCCCTGCTCCTGCTCCACTCTCCTTCAGCCTTCCCAGGTCAACAGTGCCCAGCCTCCGGGCGTACCAGCTTCAGCCTCCCTTCTTCCTACAGAGCTTCCCCTCCTCCTGTCCACCTCAGAGTCTCATCAAGTGCAAGTGAGGGTGGCCGACCTGACTGCCAGACCATGTTCTGGTGGGTGGGTTTGGCCCACCCCATTTGAGTGGACTTGATTTATTTCTTTCCTCAATACAGAGACCCAGAAATCAACAGGTCACACCACAGATCATAGATTAAACCTGTTCATTCTTTTTTCTCCCTAGTACTGCGGATTAAACCCAGGGTCCAGAGCTTTAAAAATATTTTTTTGAGACAGTCACTAAATCACTATGTTGCCATGCTTGCAACCTGGCTGCCTTGGTTTCTCAGAGTGCTGGGAACACAACTGTACACCACAGCACCTGTCTTGATGACTTTCTTATTTCTGGGACTTGTGGGTGCTTGACACCCACAAGTTAAAGGAGGAAAGGTTTATTTTAGTTCACAGTTTGTACTGGTTTTAGTCCATAGTCTGCTGGCGCCAAGGCAGGGCAGCACAACAGAGGACAAACAGCCCATGGCACGGCAGGCAGGAAGCAGCAGGCTTCTTCTGCTTTCCCTTTTTATTCTATCCAGGCTACAAATCTACTTCTTGGTGCCACCCACACCCGAGGTAGGTCTTCCTTCTTCAGTAGCCCATCGTCCACATCAGAACTTGTCTTAGTTACTTTTCACTTGTTGCTGAGACAAAATACCTGACTCCCAAATTTAGAGAAGGGAAATTTTACTTCTTACAATTTTGGTGGTTTCAATCCATACTTAGCTGCTCCAAGGCAGGGTGCCATGGTAGGGCCTCCATTCACAGCCACTGCAAAACAGCAAGAATGAACTCATGAAAAAAAAAAAAAAAGACATACCTTCTTCCTGCCCTGACACTGTGTGTTAGCTCCACCCCTGGGTAGGTGGAGCACTCTCACCACCAATCCCAGTGCTAGACCATGAACCAATCACGAACACTAGATTCAGTTGCAACCATGATTGCATGAGGCTGGGGGGGGGGGCATCCGAACATAAACCATAACAGAACTACACTGGACTAATCATGGACCAATCCAGTATTACACATCCGTGATCTAGAAATCACAAGCCTATTATTGGATCACTCTCAAAAGCATCTTCAAAGAGATGGAAAGGAGGACTCCCACTCCTCCACCTAGCAGTGTGTGAGGTTTTAGGGAGTCCTCTGGATATAAGCCATAACAGCACCTAACTCATTCTTTGCTGCCTCTGTACCACTTCCTTCCTTGGCTCCCTCATCTACCATTCTAGATAGAGGCAATTGCTTTTGCCTCCCACCTCCCCATATCCTGCATGCTATCCTCGCAGTCCAGCCTGCAAAGTTTCCACAAACATACTGGTTGGAAAGTAGATCCAAAATTCTTTGAAACTCCTCACTTCAAGGTGTGATCCTCATTCCCATCCCTTGGTCTGGATTTAGTGACTCATTTCTAAGGAATTCTTAGTCATTAGAAGGAAAAGTGACAGTGTGTGACTCCAGAGACAGGCCCAAAGAGGCAGGCAGCTTCCTGCTTACTCTCCTAGATCACTGGCTCTGAGCGAAGCCAGCTGTCATGTTGTGGAGACACTCAGCATTCCTGAGGAGAGACCCTTATGAAGAAGAATGGAGAAGACTTAGGCCAACATCCAGTAAAGAGCTGAGTGAGGCATCTGGGACCAGGTCCTCTAGCTGCAGGTGGCACCTTAACTACAACTTCTTGAAAGTTGGAACTTGAATCACCTAGCTTGGCCTCTTTCAGATTCTCAAACCCCAGGTTCCATCTGAAGGGATACAAGCTTACTGTTTCAAACTACCAAGCAACAAATAGCAACAGACAATGAATTTTACATGGTTCTTCATTTATTGGCCCATTCTTATAGGCCCAATGGTAAGTGGTTAGGAGAATCAGGGACCAGCCGCGCAGGGTTCAACAGTGCTTGGTGGAGGGATGCATGGGTTGATGGTGGGTAGGTGGATGGATATTTTGAATGGATGCATAGATGGATGGACAGATGGATGGATGGATGATCGGATGGATGGTTTTGTGGATAAATGGGAGAGATAGCATTGTGGATGAATATGTGATTTGGTAAATGAATATTCTAGGTACAAGGTGATAAACAACACCCAGTGGTGTTTCTGCTGAACATGTCTACAGTCGTGCCTTCCTCTTGCTGCCTGGTGGGTGGCTGGCCCAGAGAATGTTCTTTTGATGGGTAATGGAGTGGTCGTCATGGTTTCTTCTCTGCAGAGACTGTGGGGTTGTTCTGCAACTTAATATCTTGACAACTGACTCCTTAATTCCTGTCTTTTCCACATGTCAGCACCCCAGTGTCTGCTGTAAGTATCTTTTCCAACGGACAGCTTGAGCCACAGACAGGTGGAAGAGATCTTGGAGACCAGGAGAAGCACCACAGGTTGGGCAGAGGGAGCTCTGGAGTCACAGACCTGGCCTCAAACCCGTTTCCTTCTCAAAAGCTCTGCCTCTGTAAGGTAGCACTGTCTGCCATGTCCTTGGGTTAGGCTAAGGTGGAGTGTAGTCCAGGGCTGACCTGGGGTTACCAGTTCCATTTCTGAGAGCTGTTCAACTCCTCTGAACCCTTATTCATCAGATGAGAAAGCCGAGGCTGAGGTCGGCAACACCTTGCTCAGAGTAACAGTGAACAGTGGCAAGGTCAAAACTAGAGTTTTGTGTCCAAGACCTGCGCTTTGCCCCTCTCTTCTGATCCACTTTCTTTGCCCTTGGCT